CCACCACCCCATTCACGTGTGAAAACGCTCATTGTCATAAGTTCGCGTATATGAACATATTCATGATGGCTATTACTACATGTACCGTATATTCTCTATTATAAGCGCCGTGCTTCTATTTTTTCAACACCCCTCTACCCCGTGCTTATATTGGAGACCGCGCTTATATTGGAGACCGTGCTTATATTTTTTCAACCAATACATCTATACAGAGCAAGAAGAAATACATGCTAGATATCATGCATGCAGCATTGATTCCCACCAGGACCGTGCTAATAATAGAGACTGTGCTTATAATGTTTCGAAAGGTGCTCACAGTGTGCTAGTATTAGAGACTGTGCTAGTAATGGAGACCTGTGCTTATAATGGAGAATATACGGTATATCAGCAGGAGTGCGTGACCACGGTGACCCCTAGCCTTGCTATTCAATCTCATCATTTTCTCTGTGTTATAAGTTATAACTCTCTCCACTCTACATGTACTTGTACAGTCACGTGTATTCGTCATTCATATTTTTTATATGCTGATATGGAGGCTCCCTCGACAGGCCTTCCAGCCTCTGGGGAATCCTGAAATTAATAATACAAAACTACCAGTGTACTCGTGCACTGCAGCTCTTAGCGGATAATGGCGGCAGAGAACCGGTCGACTTTGGTGCTCTTTCAGGTGCGGCTTCGTGTTTGGTATATTCAAGAAGAGGACGCCTGCCATATCTCTGCACTGCTGAGCTTCGATGTGATACTTATATTCGGGTTTGAATTCTCCACAACAGTCTGATAATCAAAGTACAGTCATCTTGTTCCTTTGCATTACTGAGTCCACGAGGATCAGCTCCAAGGCAGTAATCGCCTTCAAAGCATGCTCACCTCCATCTTATTCTGACCAAGCCCACATAACACAAGCACAATACTCAATAGAATATTACTAGTACACAAGGTCACGTGCAGTGCCAGTACCGGTATGGTTCTTTTCTCACTGATATCGAAAGTACGTAACCCCTGGGGTTACAAGGAGGAAAACTTCCTTCTGCCAGCGGAGAGGGCTAGAGGGCTAGAGGGCTCAACACAATAATGTGGAGCACTAGTACACACTGTGTCAGTGTGTGTCACCCCTGGGCCATGGGGTTATGTACTTTTGCTGATATTGATACCAAGCGTAAACAAGCTCCAAGCATAATACTCTTGTTGATATCCGTATATGTGTGTGGATATGGTTGGACGCTTCTCAACCGAAACCTTCGCCGAAACGTCACTCATGTACATAATCGTCATTGTAACTGTTACCACTGCGGATGTACATGATGTAATGCAGCTGATCCTTCTAGCTGCCAGTACTGCAGTGCTGAACTGTCCCAACGTAACGTTAGTTGCCAACGGAGCATCTAGACGACCTGGCGGTGACTTTGTGTTGAGAGGCGCAGCAAAAAGCACGCCATCATGAAACCCGGGCCTCTCCACCCCACGGCGAGCTGCTGCTATCACCCAGGCTCTACATTAATAGCCCCTGCAATAGGAGTCGACAGTCGTGGAGCGTTAGGTCTGGCCTGCGTGGCGGTGGCCTCTTTGATACTCCTCTGTGAGAGAATATACCCCAGTGGTCGTGAAAAGCCGCTTGCTTCTACGCGAAAGTTGCGTGTCTGTGAACGCTGCGAGCACATTGCTTTTACACGATCTGACATGTTTCCAAGTCGCAGTTCTCTCCGCAGATCAAATACATGTACAGTAGACGTGTATTTTTCAGGTCATGTTTGCATGTTTGACTAATGTTTGAACTATTTCAATGATGTACGATACGTTGAATGTGCCGCGGATCGCGAAAGGTAAACCAATACTATACGAGGAAGGCACACAGAAAGTAGAACACTGTTTTAGCATGCCGCTTGAGCTTCGCGCAGAGCGATCCTCCGGACCACTAAAAATTGTCATGAAACATTTGAGGAGGTTCATAAAGCATACTTCAAGTAATATTATTGTCACTGCCCAATTGTCTCGCTCCCTGTTAATCTGTATGCGTACGTATCATCATACTTCTCATTCTCCTCTTCGCCCTGGTTCGCCGAAACTCACATCACCTTGGTCCAATCTTCTCCCTGACGGTTATTAAGATGTCAGCGGTTAGTTGATGGTGACACCATTAGCACGAGTAACAGTTTATGCAGCACACACTCCCCAGTGTAACTTCTTGTTGTTGTTGTTGTTGTTGTTGTTGTTGTTGTTGTTGTTGTTGTTGTTGTTGTTGTTGTTGTTGTTGTTGTTGTTGTTGTTGTTGTTGTTGTTGTTGTTGTTGTTGTTGTTGTTGTTGTTGTTGTTGTTGTTGTTGTTGTACTTTTTTAAAGTTACATCAAAACAGACAATTTTGCCTGCTCACATGGAGTGTGGCTATGGGAAGAGAAACATTATGGAAAACTCAGCACCAGTTGCAGTACTACAGCGGGGGAACATTGACATGTAGAAGACTGGCAACTTCAATCGATAAACCGTCTCATGGACAGCTCGCAGAGTCTAGCTAGTCACACTTGGCTGTGTTTGTCCTAGATTGTGCACGTCTGACTGTTCAAAAGCTGGTTTAGTTGGTGAACTCGATTGCATAACCTGTGCCTACAATTTCCATGTTACAAATATCTTTGTATTATTATTATGCTTGTTCGCGTTGACATCACCAAGCAAACTATCTGTGTATACTGCTCTAAAACATCTCCATGATCTGACGCAATCCACAAGTCCGCTGGCTCTCACCTGCACCTAAATCTGATAGAAAGGTTCGCCAATACTACGAGCGTTGTATTGCGCCCATTAGGCATCATCATGGCGTTGGGCAACTCTGGACATCCGGATAATCATGTACATGTAATTGTTATGATCGAATAACCCACAATATCCGCCTACTCATCCCTGAAGGTGCCCTGACCGTGTGTGAACATTTAGAAGAGACCTATTGAAGTGGTGTAGCCAAGGACTGAAGAAAGTCGTGCGTTGACTGCACAACAAATGTATAGCTTTCTTGTTGTTTCCCTAGTCTTGAACTAACGACACTGCATGTACAAGTAACGTTACGTGTAGATCTACGCGTACAAAGTGACTATTGGCTTCTTGTTCTCATTGAACTTGAATGGCGAGCCAATATAATCATGGGTAAAAAGGAGAAGGACAAAATGGTAGCAGTGTTGGAGCTACAATGTACATGTATAGGTGTCAGGTCGCTGAATGTCTCAGAACTCCTTGTCAGTTTTGTGCCTTCTTGTCGCACTGTCTGACTGTATTATGATCTGGTTTCGTTGGTGGAGAGTTAGTCATAACTTGTACCATGTTGTCCTTCTTCTTTTTATTCCTGTTCTCATTGTTTGTTTTAAGAGCTTGGTGATGACAATCATGGAATATTAATGCACGATCATGGCCATGAGATTGTCGAAACGCTCAAAATACTGTTGCAAACGAATGTAGTCTTCAGAATCGTTTAACCACACACATGGAGCCAGCCTTGGGGAGTTCCGCTCCTGTTCTGCCAGAACCCGCTGGGCACTTTTCGATCGTCTACGAAACGAATACGAGACCAGATGCGATGAGAGTAGAGGGACAGCCATCAACTATCCAATGGACAGCCATCCCCGCAACGACTCCTCTTCAGAGCTCCTGCGAATCCCGTGCCCTTCTCGTATTGCTGGGAGCCTGGTGAAGCTGCCGGATGGTCTCTATTCTGATGAGGCAGAGAAAGAGCGGGACGTCATTGCAAATCAGCTAGCCTCGCAAGTAATGTTCTCACCATTTCTCAGCTACCACACACCCATACATTTACACTACAGTACATACAATGTATTAATGCATCGGAGTATCATTCTTTCTTCTGCCTGTATTCGGCACTACGTCCAGACACAGAACAGGAATACCCAGCAATTATGTATAGCAATGCACAGACATGTATAGAAACGTTGAGACCTGGATATGTGAAACCCGAGCTGAGGCCTGAGCAACCCGGGCTACATGACACAAGTGCATTGTGTTATTTGATCTAGCAGTGCAAGTGGTCGATCTCCGCCTTGCTTGTTATGTTTTCTTTCATGTATTTGATGGTCCCCAGATCTTTTAAACTGGAGATCATATGTGCATGTTAGTGGGAAAACATGAAGACAATCATAGTACATACAACTGATTGGGTGAGCCTCGGCACGAAGGCTCAACAAACACAAAACAAGATACTGGCTAATCAGCACAATACTGACTAATGTAACGGGGACAAACAGTCATCTGGTCGTTGACAAAGAGCTGAAAAGTGGAGGTCACAATGCATCCTCCAGCAAAGAAGTCAGCCAACATCAGGTCTTTTCGTTGTAACTAAGTCCGTCAACACAAAACATAAGTTTCTTCTTACTATGAACAAAGCCGTACTGGGAAACATGTGAAGAACAACATAAAACAAGACAAACAGGAGATGTAGGGGTGATATGCCCATGTACTGAGAGCAACTCAACCGACCAGAAGCCTCGGTGTTACCATTACAATCAGGCATCCGATCGAGAATGTGGATGGGGGTTAGGGCAGCAGGGGTATTGCAGAGGAAGATTGCAGTTCAAAACTTGCTAATGAAAAGCTCCCAGAAAGTTAAGTTAATAATTTCTCTATAGCTGTATATGCTACGTATGACGAGCAAAACTAACTGTGCCGTGATCGATATCGACCTATGGTGGGGTCATTTTGCAGATGGCCTGAGCTCCAACACACGAATCGCCTAATGCTATGCGCGCATACATAAATTATGCATTCCTACTCCACTAGTAGATCTACTAGCGATGAGCTAGAATCCGTAACCGATACACAAGCGGCTCAGCTCATGCTATGGAGCTGCGTAGGCTAGGCTAGGCTGGGGGGCTAGTGGCAGTGCGCGGCGCGGAGTACGAGTGCTAGCTCTAGTGCCGAGACTGCGAAAGGCCGGATCCAGCGGAACGGTCACGCGAGGAAGGTTGTGAGACTAAAGAGAGAAAAGGCCGAAGAAGGTGGCAGTAGCTGACTTTTCGGGTGCGTGCTCTGAGGAAGTGGGTTGCTTTATTTTCCGTGCTCATTTCTTCCCCTCCCGAGCCTCCCAAGCCTTCCAGGCGCACGGAAACGCAGTCCCCTATCAACCTTCCCTCACCAAAGCCCAAGGCTCTTTGCTCTAACTACTTGTAGCTACTATCATCGCGACCATCTTGGTGAGAGTCCCAGGTAAGGTCTCCTTAGAAGCATCACGTACAGAAAGACGCGAGACGTGCTCACCAGCATCTTGCCATGGACGACGGCAGTAGTAGCAGACGGAGGTTTGTCTCCCGGGTGCCGTCCCTGCCGACGTCCACATACATCAGCTCTGTTTCGGGAGTACCCGATGAGAGCATGTCCAGAATGTGTGGTCCTTCAGCAGCGCCTGCAGTGCACAGTGTGGCTTGCCGAGTTTCAGCACGGCAGCCGGTTGCAGAGTTCAGCAACTCAACGAAGACAGCAGCAGCAGAGCAGGAGTCAAGAAACGCGTCAGAAACGAGACGAACGCTGCTAGAAAGCAAGAGTTCCAGCACGTTTCGCACTCGCAGTCGAAGGTACAACAGCAACATTAGCACGTGGAACGGGAGCGTTATGGGCCAGCGGCTGTTTCTTCTCGCTGCGTCCGTTCTAGTGTTGTGCGACCTTTCCTGGGCAGTATTTGTGACCCGCAGTACGTGTGATCGCACCGACCAACCAATCCACGACATGGTGGAAGCGCTGAACTCGGAACAGCGCAAGATCCTAGCGCAACACGCCATTAACGCCACCACACCGCTTATGTACAGAGGAGAGTACTGCGCCGTGCACGTTTGCCAAGAGCTGATGCAAGGTACGCGCTGGGCATGCCACCTCAACCATTCACGCTATCCATTCTTCGGCGTGGACAATCCGCCAAAGCTTCTCAAAGGTGAGTCGCGATTTATGACCAGATTATAGTTATGTCGTCCCGCCCCTGAAGTTGATGCACATCAATGTCTGACAGACATGATTGTAACTTGCTGCAATTGCATGTGAACTCGCGGACAGGTTAGGAGACAAGTTACACCCTCCGTGATCCGTGCCACCCTATGTGTTCCCTATTATTTTATTGTAACGCCTGTCTGTGTGGTGTCGCTGTACACGTGTACGGTGCAGCGCACTGATGAGCCGTAGTAGTTCGTTTGTAATTAGATCAACGGCTTACGAGTCAATTCTTGCCCTTCGACGTTAGCCTTTTTTGCCACCTGAGTGGAGTCGAGTCCTAGAGACAGTAGAGTTGAAACGTGGTGTGCCTGATGGCAATCACTGGCAGTGGTGCGTCTAATACCTCTTCTAGTCACACACCCAACCGCCCTACTAGACACTGTATGATGGAGTGAGGCAAGCCAACGGCAATTGTAGCAAGTCCAGCGAGTGCCCTACATCTATGTACTGGCAAAGGTAACGCAGTAATCATGTCCAAGTTCAGCATCGCTAAACTGGCCACACACACTTGCTCTACATGAAACGGTCGCGCGCATCACCTCCTTCAATACATGCTTTGAGCGTATCACTCGCGTGTACGCGGGTATTTCGTGGATCCGACGCCGGGCGAATCATCGGTGATGGATAAGTGTTTGATTTTCCTGGTCTCCTCCAGATATAGATGGTGGCCGCTTGTACATGAAAAACGCGTTGTCGACATGTAGTTGATATTGTGATCTTGAGCCAGGATGGGTAGTGTAGGAAGTTCTAGTGTGCCAAGCTCCAGTCCGACCAAATATACAGCTGTTCAGCACCTGTCTAAGAGTACCTCAAGAGATGGTTGCGTGTCTCCTGACGTTGCCGCCCGTGTTGCTATATTCTGTGCGCGCGCGCGCGCGCGTGTGTGTGTGTATGTGTGTGTGTGCCTTTGGAGGCAAACTCTCGAGCTAGGTGCTCTTGCCAGTCTTGTCAGTGTTGGCAGTGTTGATGTCGAGCCAAAGCACTGGCTAATGATTGTTTCCGTGACTTGGTGCCTGGCGAGATATGATTGGGTGCAGCTTGCCTCTAGAGCTCTCTCTCCATGTACTTCTCCGAGAAGGGTGTAAAATGTATGACAGTATGTGCTCTCTTGACGATGATGAGTGTGTTGTCTTGGAATAGGCACGGGTGACCTCGCATGTCATTAGCCTTCGGGCGCTCATCCACTACCATCACGTAAGCAAGCCAGTGGTTGGTCGGGGCCTGTTTTGCAGGCATATTAGCAGTGCCATGATTCCCCTCTTCCAGTTCTCCGACGGAAGTCACTCGTACCTAGCCAAGTCATAGCTCCGTTGCAACTGGTAGGCGCTTGACGCGTCTGTCCAATGGCAATTAAATTATTTGTTTGTGCACAAGGAGATCGAGCTGCAAACCTTCTGCAAGGGAAATCATACTAGTTAACTGTTAGGTGACAGTCTTGTATGCAGTTGAAGGAAGAACAATGTATTCTAGTTTCGGTTCGTCCACTTCCACACGATGACAGCTGGCACAAAGGGAGCCTGGTATGGCTGAACACTAAGGTACAAGGACAAGTGCTTTTCTGGCACTCTGCTGCGAACAAACACCACAGTCACAGTCCACACATGATAGCTACAGTGTACTACTAATGCACACAGTGGTGCATTGTGCCAGAGTCGTTCGCGGTTTCACCACAAGGCTCCCAGAATACGTCGTCCAGCTCTATCAGTTTGCTGGAACGTCGTCGCGGAAGCACATGCAACATCCTAGCGCGAGACAGTTCTTGAAAGACCTCCACGTGCGCGCAAACCTGGCGACCTTCTTCCACTCCACTCACTATGTGCGCTTCCGCCTCCTTGCTGGATGGAACACACACGATACGTGCACGCATACACACACACACACGCGGGCACGCACGTGATGGCTCGCGCCGGCGATGAGGGACGTCACCGTTGCTTTTACCACTTCGTGCGGTGGCGATCAGTGAAAAAGTCTGAACGAGCCGTAGGAACTTTACTTCCACTGCGGGACAAGGTGTGATACTACCTGCATGACTAGTGTAAGCCCCTATCGAGTGGCCTAAACAGGAGATGTGATCCACAGTGAATTGAACCTCACAGGAAGTTTAAAACCTGTCTGTGCATACGATTGCTGTGCGCTGACTAGAGTGATTCGCGCTCACCGACACCTTGCCGCGGGCTAGAGAGACGGAACGAGATCCTGGGCAACACTGCCAGGGTTATGCGTGCTGGGCGTCGTCGAACACAGGGTAGCTCCAAGGCCGACATCATCAGCCGCCCAGACGTCCCCGAGGATATGCGCCGGCGAAGCGTGGAAAGTAGAGACAACGAACTAACGTTACTTCAGGTTTCAACGCCAGCATTTGCCAAGGCCATGCGCGTGCGACGTTAACGCGTTGTACATGATTTGGAGCCGTGTTGCGCACGGACCTACTACATGCAGTAGTATGCGAATGGCGTGTTGTTCCAGTATTTTAGCAAAATAGGAATTCGAACAGAAGAAATTACAAGTATCCGCCTATAGGCTATACTCACCTCATCTCTGGTGGAAACCTAAGTAAGTTTAGTTGGACTGTCAAGACTTCAGTCTTCAGAGAGAGAATTTGGGTTATGGATGCTACGTCCCGCCGAGTACTGTATAGCGGCAACAACACAACGCCGGCTAGATCCAACCACTACAAGAAGGTGTTACCTAAAATACATTAGCGCACCCGTGCATGCAGTGTCAAGAGCGCGTTGAAAATGATCACGCATTCCTGGTATTATGAACATTTCGTGATGACATTCACGGTGTTTATTCACCAGCAATACAACAGTCAAGAAAACAGGAATGGGTAGCTCATTAGTCGGCTCTACGACACATGCCTTTGCACTTGTACTTGGGTAACGAAGCCGCCCGCTGTCCGCGATGCTGATAGCTCTCACAAGTAAAGTGACCCTCAACGCTGATGTACCGTGTACTGAATCCCATTGGACTTTGAGTTTGTGCGCCCTGGCAATGTAAAGTGACCACTCGAACGTACAGATACGACCTATCGAAAAGCCATTAGCAGCTGGCCAAATGAAAGATGTAGGTACTAAGGCCTTGTCCCCATTCCCTCTGTGCTTAGTCCTACAATCTCGTCTTCCTGGTTTTTCCAGGAGTGCATGCGTGCGTGCGTGCCATCAAACACCTGCAGAGCATCTTGTCGAGGTGTCTGCAGACTGCACATGGCCAACTCCAAGATGATTTCGCATGTGAAGATCTCCGGTACCTGGCACTCGGGCGCGTGCGCTTAGGGTGCTCAGAATGGTCGGGATCTGCTCTCTTTGTGGTCTTGGCTTGCCCTCAAAGTCTTCACTTCCGCGATGAACAGTTCTGAAGAAGGCGGAAGGATAGAATTAAATTTTATCCCCGGAGCCGGAGGCGGAGTACGGGTTACTTGCCTGGCGCATTTTCAATCACACAAAAAACTGGAAATAATTGGTGTCCCCTCGCTGAATGGAATTCGAAAAGGGAAGTACAAAAAGGCTTGGAGTTGTTTATGACGCCAATTGACAACAAGGTTTCAATCGCCTCACAAAGCGTTCTATGTACGGATCTAGTGACATGTAGTGGCGTGACATTCACTCAGTGACAGTTCGTTCTTCGAATGCTTCAAGTGAAGAAGTGGATTGAGCTACAAATTCCGTGATGTTGTCCGCAATGGACGTGCAGTTGTTGTTAGGCCCCTGATGCAGCTAAGTTGGCACTGGATGCTACAACTTAGTACAAGTGACTTTGCGGCGAGGCGCTTTTCGAAGTGTCCTCTTCTATGGATTAATTATTCTAGCGGTTTCATGGAGACCGCTCGCCCAGTACATGGCCACCTAGCGTCGATGAGTCGTCTCGGTACGGTAGTGCATGTTGTCAAGCAAAAGAAGATACATCTGCAGTTGGCGTGCCCCGAAATTACACCGGTGCATCGATGCCAGCTGTGTGTCGTTGACTGCAGAATTCCGACACTGTTCTTCTTGTAGTCGCACTATAAACACTGCTACATGGAGGGAATTCCAGCCGACATACCAAGCCCGCTGTATGTAGCATGGATCCATGGAGGAGTCGGGCTGCACGCCGCCACGTGGCCGGAGTGCTTACTATGTGCAGCTGCTGTGCCTGGTGTCGCCTATATGGTCATACAGCCTTTTACAGGTACAATTAAATTGTGTGCCGCCGCTGCATGCATTGTTTGGCGTTGCATTGTCCGAAGACAAACGATGGGGGCTGCGAAAGGACCGGTAGTAGGGTGAGCTCCTTTGTTATTTTTTTTAAATTACGTTCTTTTGTTCGCAGGTCTCCGAACTGACTGGGTTAGACTTATGCATGGAGTAGTATCCTGTGTGATAACTGTGTGATAACTGTGTGATAACTGTGTGATAACTGTGTGATAACTGTGTGATAACTGTGTGATAACTGTCTGTGTACTGTCTGTGTACTGTGTTCTGTAGACATGGACATGATTATAACAATACCCACTGCCTGTCTTTGTATGTTTGTGTGAGTTGTGAGCAGTGATGACTGGATTTGTATGTATGTGTGAGTTGTGAGCAGTGATGACTGGATTTGTATGTATGTGTGAGTTGTGAGCAGTGATGACTGGCTTTGTATGTATGTGTGAGTTGTGAGCAGTGATGACTGCTCTGTATGTATGCATGTACAGAGTCGCCACGTATGTTATGTCCGGCCAGCATGGTGCAGTCGTGAACAGTGAAATAGGGGCAAATATGCACACCTAGCCTTTCGATGCCACCTCCTGTCTGGGTGCGAGGCCATGTGGGTGTCCACCCGGACTCTGCAAGTCGTATAGTGGCCCAGATTTCGCTGTCCACATCTGCAGTTAACTGTTTGGTATCACCAGATACACACCTGCAGGAAATGACCCGCATACATCTACTGGAACGTGTACTATAATTATTAGCTTCAAGTTTCCACAAGAGCAGTCCAGTGTGCATAGTAATAACCCAAGCAGCTCATTGTACTCAGCACTTGTCGTATTCAACTGTTGGGGAGTACCTGGTGGCCTAGTACCAGTACTTGTAGATTTCAACTTCAAGTCTTCAAAGGGACTGCTGTCCTGCCAAATAACGGCACTACATGTAACAGTATCAGACAATGTGTGCTTAGACTTAGTCTTTGTTCCCCGGGACACCATTGAATACAGTACAGTCCAGACGCTGGCACTGGTTCATGCAAACAAGGCGGCATAATTCCTGCTAATGAGGTCGGAGTGTGGACCATGCCGCGGCCTATGTTGCCTGGAATTAGATTTGCTGAACTAATGTCTGATGTGTCTCCAGTATGCTACTGATGCTAGTTATACCACTGATGTACAGCTACATACATAGGCCAGTGTGACGTGTACAGTGCACGCAGGGCTGATGTGCAAGCTGCTAGCGCATGGCATCATATCCAGGCTCATAAGCCAGTGGTGTACACTAGTGCACTGGTGTGCAGTCCCATGTTAGTTAACAGGTCTAGGCTATAGCCTAGGGCTGCCGATGATGAGTGTCTGGGGCTGAGCTGATCCAGAAGGTCTGGGCTGATCCAGGAGGGCTGAGCTGATCCAGAAGGTCTGGGCTGATCCAGGAGGGCTGAGCTGATCCAGAAGGGCTGAGCTGATCCAGGAGGGCTGAGCTGATCCAGGAGGTCTGAGCTGATCCAGGAGGTCTGAGCTGATCCAGGAGGGCTGAGCTGATCCAGGAGGGCTGAGCTTATCCAGGAGGTCTGGATTTCATTGATTAGTGAGACTTACCACCTCACCCTCACCGGCGTTAGGAGCTGCATCTGCCACCCTGGTATAGTCAGGCATGGTGGTGGCCCTGCTGGCACGAGTGAAACTTCTCTAAGCTGGCTTTGTTTCTCAACACAATTGTAAGCCACTGGTAAAGGGGATGTGCAAACTTGACTTACTTAGTGAAAACATTGAATTGTCGTTATGGTGGAGACGGAGAGATTTTGTTAATAGAGAGCAAATGAATTTGATTGTGTGGAAATCAAGCAGCCTTTGTCATGAGAGATACGGCATAAACACCACCTACCTTATCACCTCGTGTACATAGATATGGTGTACGCTGGCTCACCACTGCTGACCCACTGCCAAATGTTTTAGAAGTACAGGTACAACGTACAACGTGTTCTTTATGGGTTTGGCTATCAAATCAGTTCTTTATGGGTTTGGCTATCAAATCAGTTCTTTATGGGTTCGGCTATCAAATCAGTTCTTTATGGGTTTGGCTATCAAATCAGTTCTTTATGGGTTTGGCTATCAAATCAGAGTAATGAGACCACTTTGTTCCAGGGCTTTAGTGTACATGCACTATGTCCAGCATTGATTCTATACCCCACCCCAGGTGCACCCCCATCCCAGAGAACCATGCATGGACGTTGATTGGTGTGGTCAGGGATCAGTAACCTGGGAGGCAAGGCATTAGCACTTTCCTTCTCTGACAATGAGCAAGGACCATGGAGGAATCTTGATTTGAACTAGTCGGGGTTGTGCTGCTAATGACTGATAAAGATGCTGCTGCTGCCACGACCGTGGACCCTTGATAGCTGTGCTGCTGCTGCCACGACCCTAGGCCCTTGATGGTTGTGCTGCTCTGGTTGCTACCGTGGACCCTTAGGGGCTTAGGGGCTGTGCCTGGGATGCCAGGCATACTTTGCCTTGGCCTTTATGGTGAAAGCTTACGGTCAACTGAACACTTACATGACTATTGTACTACAGTGGCCAAGACATTCCACTGTATAGCTGCTGAACATCTCAGGTAGCCTGTTCTAGGTGACAGTACGGGGTGCTGGACTTGGCTCTGGGAAAGAGTAGACGATGTGACAAAGCCGAGACTGCTCCAGGAATGGACCCTTTGGGGCTGCATGCGGGTGGTCTTTTGTTCTTCCTGTCATTGTTGATTGTGTATTGTGTGCGTATTTATCTCATTCCTCACTCTTAACTCTAACCCAGTGATGCAAATACCTTGTGCAAATCGTCGCAACAATTGTGCCATAAATTACTTTCATGATCAATCAGAGGTAATATACATGAGGTATTGAGCCCTTGCTGAGACGGTAATCAGACACCCAAGACACCCTTGATTGGGTGCCCTGCTTCTGCCCCAGCAAACTGCCAGTGGCGATTCTTGGCTGGCTACTATGCCATTGTGATGGGAGATAATTTGGCTGATCATGAGCTGGTATTGTCGGTTATTAAACCACGCAGTCAAGTGATTTTCTTCTGTAGACATCGTCTTGTATTCTAGATAATTGCCTGGAGGGTATGCACGTGGAATGGCGAGAGTGGTGTTCCAGGAAAAGCGGACCTTGGTCAGCATATAGTGTAGCACCCCAAGATGGGTGGAATTGTTGTTGAAATAGGATAGGGTAATCAGTACTTATCACTCGGGAGAGAGGTTATTACCAGGCGTATTGCCCCGACAACACAAAGCATGACGCTCATGATGGTGCAGGGTGGTGATATCCTGCAGCATGATCATTGCCCCCCCCCCCCCGGCCCAGTAGACTGAAACCCGATCGGAGATACGTTTCTGCAGTTCCTGAGTAATGTGTCACCTGATACTCAGTCTGTGTGTTGTACACACACTATATGTACAGTCAACTGTCAATGTACATGACATTGTGTGCGTGCGTGCAATATAGCCGCCTGTTGAGTGTGGGAGACAGCATGCGAGATCTACAGTCGTGCCACTGTCAGCCTATGCAAGTGGCCTTGCGACGGTCGGCCTTGCGATGCCGGGCTTGCAGCATTCATGTTCTTAACTCACGTAGAAAATGATATTGTGACGGAGATGTTTGTCTGAGCTGGGCGCACGACCCTCTATCCCTTGCTCTCTCTCTCTCTCTCTCTCTCTCTCTCTCTCTCTCTCTCTCTCTCTCTCTCTCTCTCTCTCTCTCTCTCTCTCTCCCTGTCTCTCTCACTCATTCTCTCTCTCTCTCAGGGGATGGCTGCTTCATGCCAAGCCTAATTCTCTCTCCGGCTCTCTCTCTCTCGCACTCTCTCTCTCTCTCACTCTCTCTCTCTCTCTCTCTCTCTCTCTCTCTCTCTCTCTCTCTCTCTCTCTATCTATCTATCTGTGTGTGTGTGTGTGTGTGTGTGTGTGTGTGTGTGTGTGTGTGTGTCTCTGTCTCTCTCTCTCTCTCTGTCCGCTCTCTCTCTGTCTCTCTCTCTGTGTCTCTCTTTGGGGTCGGCTCAAACCCAGTGAGCCCTTTGTTGCCTTCCGGCGCATACAAGCTCGGTATGTATATGTACGTGTGATCATACTCCAGCCGTTTCCGGGACGACTGGGAAGGGGATCTTGTCACGTCCAAAACTACTCAGAGCTTGGTGTGAGAATGGCCATATTGGGGAATCTTCCAAAATAGACGCGTGGGCTATGGGCAGCTGGTGCAGCTGATAACGACAAGCGAGGCTGTGGTTTAAAAACGTATCATCAGTAGATCCGAATATGAGGTGTACCAGTCTGATGCTGCCCAAGGCGGAATACGCGTCGCCACTAGATGCTGAACAGCATGTTTCAAATCCTGAAAGCCTAATATTCAATGATAACAGTGACTCAGTCAGTCAAGTGAAGTAGGCTGCCAGTGTGTCAGTACACTGAGATGCCCAAAGTATAGTTTGAGCGTGTTATTAGCTGTGTTGTTCACATGCATATTGTCTTGATCGTCTTTGACGCAAGGTGTGCTGGCTTCACAGCATGGAGCCAATAGACTGAAGACAGATCGTCCTTGAATGTTGTCAACCTGTTGTAGTATTTACAGCAAGTTGTCGAGAGACTCGGATGAACACACGCCGTTGTGCAATGTGCTTGTTTACGTGCCTGATATCTGTATCCCATGGTTTCTGCTCGCTGTCGTTGTGTTGTCATTGCAGGAACAAAGGAGAGAGCCATTCTGTCAGCACTAGACTCGGCGGGGGTGCTGGTCAAGCTTTCTCGTGAATGTAACAAAGGTGGCCCACCACTGCGTGCTTGTCAGTGCCTTGGGTGAGTTCAAGTTCTCCACTTCTTGACTGCATGAGCCTTGCCCAGCATTTTGTGCCTTTTAAATTCCTTCCCATGTTGAAGCTTCCATCATACTTTGAATGGCATTCAGAAAAATGGCGGCCAGCCGTGACAAGACCAGCCGAAAAACAGGCTCTCTTGGGTGTAAGCAGAGTTCTGGCACATCGGGCACGTCAGCCCTGCGGATGTGCTGACACCGTGGCCCGTTCACGGGTGTGCTATTGCTAGCTGGAGTTGCTGCACATGGGTGCGGATGAATGGTCTTCCCTGAGATGATAACTTCGGTACTCCTGCAGCAGTGCAGTTTTATAATCTATGTATCCACCAATCTCCCCCACCATGATGGTGTGTTACAGTGACTCACTGTTGCTCATCCAGCAGGAGAGCGGAAAGGATCATGACTATTGTATGTTTGCCTGTGGTCTTGCAGATCAACCACCAGCGCTGGAACAACACAGGAGGAATTTGTGCGGCACACTGTCGAGTGCAGCCGAAATGAGGACGCCAGCTCCGGACCGATGGCCATTGCCAAGAACTTTGTGGATGCAAACGAGCACGAGATATGTAAAGGAAGTGCGAGAGCCGGTCGTGATGAAACACAATGTATGACGAACCTGCACAATAACTTGGTTGGGAGAAGGGTAAGTTTCCACATTGTTTAGTTTAAATTTTTAAATTTTACATACTTCTGTACGTACGGATGCTGTGGTGCTGTGGCATTACTGGTGCTATGGCTTTGCATCTTTGTTCCCATCCTTTGCCCCAGTCTCACTGACCCGATGATTCGAAACTCTGCTTTGTCGCAATAAAGAGCTATTTGGGTATTGTGCTTTGCCCGCAGTCGTGCACCATGCATGCGATGCGAGCTGTTGCTGTGCGAGTCTGCGTGGAGAGCTTTACGCTTTTCAAAGGACATGTACATATGTACTGACTCTGGTGCTGTCCTTCTCTGCGTCCCTCGCAGCTCGTTGTGCGACACATGCGCAGAAAGTGCCACTGCGTGGGCACCAGCGGCTCCTGCTTGGACCAAGTCTGCGTAAAGTACATGCCAGATATCTTGCACGAGGCACCATTGAAGAGAGAGTTTCTTCGGAGCTTCAACCAAGCTAAGCAGGTGAGACACAGACGTATGGACACAGACGTATGGCTGCTACGTATGCCAATGCGGCAACTTGATAACATTACAATGGCCTTCCATGGTTCATGTTGGCAAGGCAATCTTAGGGTGTGGATGCAGGGCATGACTGCAGATAGATGGCGAGACAACACATGAGTACCATAGCAACGTGTAACTATCAAGTGACAGTGGTGTATCGGTCCTCCAAGCCGTACACCGTCAAGTCAATCCGACCATGAACGTGTAGCACAGCTACAAGCAGTGATGAGCACCGGAACACAACTTCTCTGCTCCAGATAATTATACTGTTTGCTAGCGGCTGGTGAAGGTTTGCATACAGAATGCACGGTTTCTGTCAGGAAGTTATAACGAAGCAGGCTCAACCGTTAGATTTTAAACTGACAAATTCCTATACGAACCCTGTTAGATGTTGACTGACAAATTCCAATGCGAATCCACTGACCCTATTCCCTGCCGGCTTGAAGTTTTATCGCGGTGATTTCATAAGCATTAGCCAGTGCCCGCACTGGAGTATTACTGACGTGTTTCGGTGTTCTTCGTGTGTGCCTACAGGTATATGTGTCCAAAGGACAGTCTGGAAAGCTTCGTTTATCAAAGGCCACCGACCATAAGAAGGTACATTGTACATGCTCAACTGTAGATGTGGACATGCTAATAGTACACATGTTGTCGGGAGTTGCGAATACTAGTAGATCAATTTCCAAAATGTTCGTGTTTAATATGAACATATCCCGGGACTTTCGCAGAACTTTACGGGACCCTGGGAGAGAACACCATATTCCCGGGAAACCTGGGGCGGTTGGCATGTATGCATGTATCAGACAGCTGTTACAGGACAGAGGAGTGTGGCCGTGGCTATTGTTTAATCTGCTCAAAAGATCACACGCTCCAACTACACATGACATGATGCATGGAATAAACAGAATAGACCATCTTGTATCCGTCTTCCATAGCCTCTGCCTCCTTTTTAGTGACTTTATGATTCTGGCCCCAACCCCTGCCCTTCCCCTTTCTTTCTCTTTTCTTCATTCATCCCTCGCTTGTTGAGCGGCCTGGGCGAATGCTATGGTGGTTGAGTGTAATATTTATGTATCGCCTTTTTGCAGTACGACATCCTGATGCAAACACAGAGACACAAATAATTATAATAATTATCACGTGTAATCCAACTGTTCGCAATTACACAGACGTGGGCTAATTTCCTGTCTCTCTGTCCGTGTGTCTGTCTGTGTGTGCTTTCAGCCCGGTAACACTGAACTTGTATACTTCAGGCCGTCGCCCCGCCTGTGCAGCCACCAATTCCGTCCAATTGGCCCACCGGTGCACCACCGCTACTGCAAGAACATCACCGGTCCGGGAATTGTACCTGGGTCCTGCAAGTATTTGTGCTGTGGTGGGCAGTTTGAGAAGGAGATAGAAAAAGTGCCATACACGTGCAATGCACGTCTACGGAGGATGCCCAATGCCGAAGGCTACAGGTGGATATTTGATACGTGCTACAAGGAGGTTCATAAGTTCAAGTGCAGCGAGCGCAAAGAGAGACAGCGTGCTAGTCCCAGCAGTATTGCCTAGCTGCACTGGAGAATACGCATGGTGTTTGGCGAGGCGCTCGCTGCCGACAGCACAGACATATGAAATAGGCTCTCCTAACATTAGATGCAGTCTGTGCCTGTGTGTGTGTGTGCGTGCGTGTGCACGCCACCCTGCTCCGTCATTGCATTGCAACAGCATGAGACTAGTAAGAGCCAGCGCATAGATCCTACCGCCGTCGCCAAGCCACTGACCTATAAGACCTGATTGAGCCAAGTACACATTATGCATTACGCCATGCATACCAAGCCTTCTCAACTCAAAACACTTGCTCTTATTTCTTTGAAATTTTTGAAATTGTGTCCTTCCGCGGACAGAGCGGCACAGCGACAGTTTAGGAACTCTACACAACAATGATATCTACTTGAGAGCTAATAACATGCATTAGAGTGAGGGTAGAGGCGTGCATCTTGCTTGGGAAATCTAAGTTAGCGCCCTTTGGATAACTCCGACATTCTAGAACTATCTTATAGTAAGCTGTAAGCGGTAAGACCCCCTAAAACTAATAACTGAATGTTAAAATACATTTCAAAGTCACACTAATACACTGGCACCATGCACAATATCGGCCAGCCAATAAATCTCCCGTCACAGCTAACAATGTTTGCTTTCTTCTTCTTCTTCTTCGCCGTGTTTTCTTCCCGATTTCTGAGTCAGAGTTGCATCTCAACCTATTTATTCCCCCCCCCCTCCCATCTCTATGGAAACAGCTATTGATCTGTTTGTTGTTGAACATCTTATTCGCTCTATTTCCACATGATGCCATGCCGACTCAGCTCAATGTGTGATGGGAGTGTGTGAGAAGGTAAAGGGTATTGTTTCGCACTTGATGCGAAGAGCCAAACTAATGAACACTAGATGCGTGCAATCACAACCCTTTGTACAAGTGACCCAACCCCCTCCATGCTCCCAGCAGCAGTAACAGAGGAAGGCCTGGACATTAGTTTTTCCTTCATTCAGAATTGATTTTTGCAAGAAAATGAATATGGTACAAGATCGGGCTTTTGTTGCCCAGCAGGTGGTTGCTCAAATTTGTACAGTCAAAAGGGGAGCATGAACAGCACGAATACAGATACGCACACAAGCAGGCAAGCACACGCGTGTGGGCGCGCACACAAAATATTATTATACGTTGGCTCATAGTTGTCTGTATCGGATCCTGAGCATCTCGTTGATCTCCGCGCTTGTCATGCGACCCTCGGATTGGTTCAGCTGAACAGGATCACACACAGCAGCGTAAGGAGACGCGTGGATGTGCACACATGTACACAGAAAGGCACACACACATACGCACGCGCGCGCGCACACACACACACACACACAGAGTCAACTACACTTCAAGGGGGAGCTTGCACACAGTTTCTTGATATTGGACACTATTAATCCGCACCCCTGTTGCAGCATGTACCGAAAGCATACTTATTCACCGGGACTTAATTCCAGCTTTCGTCCAAAGAGTTTCAAACTTTTAAAAAAACCGCTAGACCTTCGGCAATAAAGTCGGGTTATCCACATGTGCCCGTGTTACCCATTGCCATTGGTGTTACGGGCAGTTGGACAGGAAAATTGTGAAACAACCGCGATCTGCTAGTACCAAGAGCATATAGGCCAGAGTGTGTAGCAGATACAGAGTCGGGGAAACGTAGTTTACGTCATTTCAGACATGATCAAGGCAGGCAAGAGCTGACGCCGCAGATTGTACTGATGCGCTGCAACAGTGGTATAGCAGATCACTACATCCTGCTCTATGAACTCTTGCTGGTACGCTAAATCAATATGAATCTTGATGCTCGATGTTCCGTTCGATTATACGCAACAACACTGGTCTATTTGAGTGGTTTTTGACGATCTGAGGCTCGTCGGAAGCTCTTGGAGAGAAGTTACAGTTGGAGCACATCAAGAAGGTTCAGTCCACATGTGCCATGCACGTACACACGACGAAACATGGCACGTCGTCATAGCAACAATACCCAATAGATACAGTAAAACCTGCGACTAATGACCACCCCTCGGGCCCAGAGAAAGCGGTCTTTAGTGGCAGGTGGACCTTAGTTAGAGGTTTGCAGCGCACAACCATTATATGACTGTGTGAGACCGCCCATGCCTGGCAAAGTGGTCTGTAGTAGCAGGCTGGTCGTTAGTCACGGTGGTCTGTAGTAGCAGGCTGGTCGCTAGTCACGGTGGTCTGTAGTAGCAGGCTGGTCGTTAGTCACGGTGGTCGTTAGCCACGGTGGTCTGTAGCTACAGGTTTTACTGTACTCGTGTTGCCAACAGTACATTACCGCCAACAGTGTTTAACTGCTATCTACATGTATTGGGGCGCACATGAGGCCATCACATTCCCGCGTATGCATGCAAGCACACGCAGCAACCATAGTTCAAACGAAGCTTTGCATGTGCCCGCACGCGCCTGCACGCACAGACACAGAGACACACACGCACACACAAACACGCAAGCACGATTTGCAGCATACCTGTCCTGTTTGGCGAAGGTGAATGCGCTCACGGCCACAATTAAGGAAGGCTGCATTCTGCGCCGCGCAGTATTGATCCTGAAACTCATTCTGCGCGAGACAGTCGAACAACGAAGTCATCTCTTCCATACAGGACGCAGCTTTATGTGTTTTCGTCGACACCATGGCAACCTGGACACAAGAAGAATGGGACACCGTGGAGTGTTATCATCAACCAGTCCCCAGGTCTGGCAAGAGTTCGCCCAATAGCCAAGTGATTATGACATCAACATTATCGATATGGCCAGGAGTCCAGGGCTGAAAGTGCTACTCCAGAATCAGGTCAACACTCACTCAATACAATAATATATAAGGCCATGGTAAAAAATATCTTTGCTTCTCAAGTATGCGCGCATCGATTTTTGGTGGTGCACAGACGATTTTTTTTATTTCTATGCATGCATATGCGTGCATGAAAACGGTCAATGCGAAAGGCATGAATCCGGGAGTAGTAAAATACCGGCCTGAATAATAAATTAATTATAAATTAATTATGAACCTGTGACGTACACATGTGTGACCCTATCTTTGGAAATAAAAAATTGTGGGAATTAAAATAAAAAATCGCTCGCTCGCACCGATTTTCACAGGCTCATGACCTGAGAATCAACTTTATTTTTTACCATGGCCTAATGGACTGGTGGTGTTAGTGGACATTGTAGACTAACTTGTAGTTCCTTGGCCTTTTTCTTCTTCTATAAATCAATTTATTATAATAATCTTTATTAGGATGACCCAAGGTCTTGTCGCCTAGCAAGGGATTTACTGCTTTGAAGGATGTACACGTATGAGCTAAAGTAGAAGTGGTGAAAAAATAGTGCAGTGTGAATGCGTTGGGGAGCACACAGGGGAAGTTAGAACATTAGAGAGGTTAAGATGCACGTTATTTCCGACGTGACGCGAAAGTTCAGCTCGCGTTATTTGCTCGCACGTCGAAAAATCAACGCGAGTGACCTGCTGCTCACGTCGAAATTTGGAGTTTTACGCCAAATTTGACGTGAAAGTGCGCGTCACGTCGGAAATAACGTGCATCTTAACCTCTCTATTTACTGATTCACTCATGCTTGAAGTAGCTTCCTTCGCAGCAGTGTGTCGCATGCACTGCTACTGACTGAACTGAGTTCTGGGGGCCATTGTCTGACCACCGATGCTGTTACCCATCACAAGTCCTGGGGGGGGGGGGGGGGGGGGGTCACTGCTGTTACCCATCACAAGTCCTTGGGGGGGGGGGGGGGGGTCACTGCTGTTCCCCAACACAAGTCCTGGGGGGGGGGGTCACTGCTGTTACCCATCATAAGTCCCGGGGGCCGGTGTCTACCTGCCACTGCCGTTACCAAGAGTACATGAAAACCAGAGTGTGCAGCTCGGATGGGTTGCTGTCACGGCGAAATTCCGTGATAACATCATTTTAGTGATGTAGTGCGTACAAGCAGGATTCAAGCAGGTCTCTTTCTGCACAACTGCAGCTCAGTTGTACGCACTACGCCATTTCCCGCCTCAGATCTGCACCAAATATGATGTAATCACGGAATTCCGCCGTGACAGACACCCATAGCAGAGAAGACCCCAAGCTGCACACTCTGGTTTTCATGTACTCTTGCCGTTACCCAACACCACAGCAGCATGATTCCATGGGGGGTTGGTACTGCAGGGACAGACTAACAAAGGTTTTACTCCACACTACCAAGAAATTATCTCCTTTAAAGTTCAGTGGCACCTCAAAGGGTTAAAGGGGAAGTATACCCTAAAATCAAATTTCACCAGTTGTAGTCTTCGGGGTGCTGAGTCGAATGGTCTTGGTCCGAGGAAGCTGAGACGCTCCTTCCTCCTTTATTCCCAATCGAACTCGCGCACTTCCACCGAAACTGGGTGACTGCGCCCTACTAGATAGGGATTTGTATGGAAAAGTCACTAAAAACGCCGTTTCGTTCTTATAAAAGCGCAGATGACCGCGATTGGTCCATATGTTGTAGTATTTTGGCCGCTGAGTCGACTGGTTTTGGTCCGAAAGGGCTGCGATGCAGCGTTCGGCCCTTATTCCCAATCGAACACGGTTGAGTAAGCAGTCACGTGCTCATGCGTACACCAGTCGCCTGGTCACCGTGCCTGCAGGCTACAATTTTCACATCAAGGTTCAACTCAAAGGTTCAAAGCAGGGAGTCATAAGAGGCTTTTACGACTCCCTAGTTCAAAGGTTCAACTCGAGTGACATAAACGGGCCCAAACAGGCTGTAAATGAGCACGTGACCTCTTACTCAACCGTGTTCGATTGGGAATAAGGGCCGAACGCTGCATCGCAGCCTTTTCGGACCAACACCAGTCGACTCAGCGGCCAAACGACTACAACATACTAGTATGGACCAATCGCGGTCATCTGCGCTTTTATAAGAACGAAACGGCGTTTTAGTGACTTTTTCCATACAAATCCCTATCTAGTAGGGCGCAGTCACCCAGTTTCGGTGGAAGTGCGCGAGTTCGATTGGGAATAAAGGAGGAAGGGAGCATCTCAGCTTCCTCGGACCAAGACCATTCGACTCAGCACCCCAAAGACTACAACTGGTGAACATTTGATTTTAGGGTATACTTCCCCTTTAAAAAGACTGCACTGGATACATCTGTCTTTCACGTCTGTGCTTGGCAACATGGCTCAGATAAGCACACGTGATCGTGTGTGGCAGTGCGAGGGTACGTGACAGTGCGAGCGAGTGCACGCGTAACCCTATCTGCGCAGTACGCTATATTCGTACATCATCCAGTCAGACTAAGCATAATGGTCACATAACACAGACTGATACCCTGTCTAGAGTGGCACACTATGTTTCCTCATATCAAACTATCCAAGAAATGTTGCCCTGTCACATGACATTGTACTGTACTTGTTTGTGTTAAGTGCAACTTTCAAATGAGATTATACGCACTGCCCGTAAGCAACATAGCCTTTCACCGGATAGAGCGGAGATATACTGCGACAAAAGGGCGTGAATAAAAAGGCTAAGGGCTGAAAGCACGACACGTACCCTGTTTCGCAAGATCAGACCTTTCATTCGTCTGTCGTACATAACCAACAATGGCGTCGTGCAACGCATCGTTGCTGTGCGCTCACTGCGAACTCCACGTCAAGAATGAATAACTCTAGTCAGAACAGTGTAGTCTCTGTGTGTATAGAAAACCTCGGCACACAGCCCGGATCACATCATCAGCCAAAACAATTCGTATTCACTCGACTTCTTGCTCAACAGCACTCAAGAATTTCTTCCATGCGAAATGTTACGAGTTCGAGACTTTAGCAACGATCAATAAATACGTCACGATCATGTCACGGGTACATACACGTGTAAAAAAATATTCAAAAACAATCAAATCTCGCACTGCTCGAGCTCAGCTAGCTAGCTCAGTGCCAGTGGTGTACAATCATGTACTTTTATCCTGTCAAGAGTGAAATTGTCCTACATGTAGACGTGCAGATCTTGATCACTAAGGCCAAGGGGACATGCTGGCCTATGACCCAAGACAAGTGGAGGTAGAGGATACGTTTCATGATGCGAGGGTATTGATTGAGTGGCTTACATCTGTGAAATATTATACATCGAATCGCGAAGTAGTTTGCTGACGCAATTTTTGGAAAATAGTGTTTGCAAATGTAATGGAATGGCGAGCAATACGGAGAGCGAAGAGACCGTGAAATGGATGGGGCATGCAATGCAGCTAGCCCGCACTGCCCTGGACAATGGCGAGGTCCCAGTAGGATGTATATTGGTGTACAAAGATCAGGTACTGGGGTCGGGAGGCAACGTGACGAATGAAACGAAGAATGCGACTCGCCACGCCGAGCTGATAGCTATAGATCAGGTGTACGCTTGGTGCGGCCAGCACGGCCAGTGTGCAGTGGAGGTGTTCAAGCAGTGCTGCCTCTACGTGACAGTAGAGCCGTGCATCATGTGTGCCACTGCTCTCCGCCTGGTTGGTGTGTGGCGCGTTGTGTATGGCTGCCGCAACGAGCGCTTCGGCGGCTGCGGATCAGTGCTGGATGTCAATTGTGTATACTCGGCTGCAAACAGGGAAAGCAGCGCAAATGGTGTAAAATTCATGATCCCGTCCGCGGTCTCCGAAGTCACCACCCGAGCGGAAGTATGCCGGAGACAGCACACTTCGTTGCACTCCAACAAGGATTCTTCTGTCGAGGGAAATCAAGCGGATACCCCTTGTCCTGTGCTGGAGAATTGCCAGTGTGGTAGTGCGGAGCGACAGCAGGCAGCTGTAGACAAGAAGATGTGTGCGCGTCAGTCCATGTCCATGCCTGCACGCTCAACGCATGCTGACAGCTCCACTGCTTCGATCGCGGCACAGCGTGTTCCTAGCTGTGAAGACCCTAACAGACAAACTACTACTGCTACTACGTCTACATGTACTACCGCACACACCCGGCCTGCTGCCCCGGTGCTAGAAAGCCGCGTTGGACCGCCGTTTGAATGCACGGGTGGCTTAATGGCCGACGCCGCCGTCGACTTACTGAAAACGTTCTACGAAGGGACGAATCCCAACGCACCAGTCCCCAAGGTCAAGCGGAAAGCAGGGAACAACAGTAAGCAGTGTTCTAGCAGTGTAGTTCCTGTTTCGCAAACTACAACTAGCAGTTCTTGATTTAAAACCAAAGACTAATACAGTTGTACGCTCGGAACATGATAACTATTTTTTTTTAAATTTCCTGGACGATGGCACCCATTGTGCTGGGAGTGCTCGATACCGCGGAGGCAGAGTGTATTAGTACACAGAGTCACAGACACAACACGGACTGTGCAAGGCTAGGTTGGTGCTACGCTGAGTTCAGAGCGGCAACAAACAAACTAGCCCCCCCCCCCCCATCGTTGTTCTGTATTTTTTTAATTTATTAAATTTTGCCTCACTTCAGCTGGCCTGGCAGTGGGTGTATAGACTTGAAGCACTGCAATGGACGCATGCAGATTATAGAGATTGGGTATTGACTTTTATGTAAGAAAGGCAAATGGTATGCTGTATAAACGTGCTTTCCGAATTTCGTGGCGGACTGTTCCAGATGCGGGTCAGCACGGTATGTGTACCCCGGTTGAGATGTTGTATGTACCTGGTTTTAACCAAAAGAGGGTGTGGTACCCGGTTGAGGGGGTGTGTGGACCCGGTTGAGAGGGTATGTGGACCTGGTTGAGAGGGTATGTGGACCTGGTTGGGTTGTGAGGGCCTTTGTACATGGTTGAAAGAAATCAGCCGGGTAAACACTCACCTCGTTGAGACTCCCCCCATTTTTCGATGCCTATAATTTGTAGTTGCAACGCTGACGCCGAGACCTCTGGTCGGTTGAGTTGCTCCCAGCACATCGGCACGTCGTCCCTACATCCCCTCTGTTTTGTCCTTTTCCTCGTTTCTTTTTGTTCTCCACCTGTTTTCCAGTAGGGCTGTGTTAATACAGTGAAACCTGTCGAAGACGACCGTTCACGGGACCTTCAAAACGTGGTCTCTGTTACCAGGGGGTCTCCTTATCCAGGGTCATTTGACTGGAAACATCATCCCTTGGTCCTGGTTTCAGTGGTCTTCTAGGACAGGTGGTTGCCTTATCCGAGTGGTCGCCTTGACAGGTTTGACTGCAGTAAAAAGAAGAAGAAAAAAAAGATTGGGTTATATTGGTCTGTAGAGTGTAGGAGAGTTTTTTCACCCAAACTATTCCAAGTCGGGGTGAATTGCGTGACTCAGAAGGTGATGACAGCCAGGTATGTATGTCATTGCTTCTGATCATTCTTCCTGAGTGTAACGTGTAGTATGAAGTCCAGCTGCTCCGGGTTTGACTTCAGCCCTGCTCCGCCAACCGCCCAGGTTTTGCTTGGAGGCATACACATACCACGTACTGGAAAATAGATAGAAAAGAGAGAGAGAGAGAGAGAGAGAGAGAGAGAGAGAGAGAGAGAGAGAGAGAGAGAGAGACAGTGTCTGCTCCAGCGCCGGGTGAGCCGGGTAATCCACCCGGTTGGGCGGCGCTTGGACCCGGTTGAAAATATAGTACCGGGTCACCTGTGACCCGGTTGGTACTTTACACTTTCGAACTTTGAAAGGACTGACTACATGGCTTGTATGTGTCAGATACTTCTTCTTCTTTCGTAATTTTCTAATTCCTGTCCTCTCTTTTCTAAATGCGGCTTATCCATTCGCCTTTATATCATTGGGCCTAGTTCCCGTTTACTGTCCGAATTAAAATAAACCAACCAACCAGTTAAAGCATGTGACTCGGCTGGTGAGACAGCGCCAGGTACATGTGTATCCGACCCGGTTGAAGTGGTTGCGCCAGGTACACGTGTACCCGGCTGTCCTACAATCCTAGAGCAGACACCGTGAGAGAGAGTGTGTGTGTGTGTGTGTGTGTGTGTGTGTGTGTGTGTGTGTGCGCGCGCTCCATCTTCCTCTCTGATGCCCCTCCGGGGCCCACATGACCCCTGTGGCAGTGGCTCTACAGGACAGGTGTGTGTGTGTGTGCAAAGGCTAAAAATAGTGGCGGTCAATTCATCAGCCTTGCAAGCTGTTGAATGGTGTAATCCCAGCACGAGTTGCTATGTCTACATAGCTGTTCGCTATCATCGCTTCTGCGATGGGCAGGTCTGAGGTCTGAGGTGTGTGTGTGTGTGTGTGTGTGTGTGTGTGTGTGTGTGTGTGTGTGTGTGTGTGTGTGTGCGTGTGTGTGTGTGTGTGTGTGTGTGTGTGTGTGTGTGTGTGCGTGCGTGAATGCTTATCACAAGCACAGTAGTTATGTATACTGTATTGTTCAAGTCATCTTCAGTTGACTGTACCAATACTAGAGGGTGAGCTGCATGCCTACTGCCTGCACTGCCTCATTCATCTGTCCACTTCTGCCAGTTCTGGATGTGGAGAGCAGTCCTGGTGTTTTGTTTGACAATCCACTGGGACAGGTACGGCATAGTACACAAGTGCCGCGGTTTAGGTTTAGCAGCTTCTCTGTCCTGTGACTGTTCGTTCTCATCCTGTCACTGTCGGACCTGTATGCATGTAAAACGTACCGGTAATGCCATTCCGTCTGATCTCACAAATTTACTTCCTTGTCTTCCCTCACCACCATACAGTAACATACCGTATACATGATATCGTACTCTTCGACTCTCCACAAAGTACAATGTAGCTGGCCAACACACCAGACTGCTGGAGCATCCAGTACTGCCTTACTTCTAGCAATACAACAGACACGCCATTGGTATTGTAAGGTACAGACAAACCTCTTGAGGACGAACACCAAGGACCGGTATTTTTACCAAATACTGAAATAGCGAGAGTTCTTCTTATCCCTATAATATCTCATACATTGACCATGCTGCAGTACATTGTAGACACCGTTCAACTGCGCAACCCATAAGCAGTCCAATACTATTAAAGCAGTCAATATTACATGTACAATGTAAGGAGTGAAATATGCAGGAATATTTGACTGCTTAGGTATAGCGAAAATCAATGGGAGTCAATGCTAAGAGAATAGAAGCAAGATTCGAGTCGAGTCATGAATTTCCCAGTGATCACGGAACTCGGCAGTAGTTCACTAGTTGATCTAACGTCGTACCGACCTGTCATCCGTCACACGTAGAATCTACACAGCTTGATGGTGAACAGGCTCAGGCCTAGACTACGAGAGCATCATAAACAGGCTGTGGGTATCCCTGAGTGGGTTGGACCCCAAGTCTTTGCGGCTATGCGCGTGGACTCACCCATTCCGGCCTGATACATCGTAGCTTCTTCGACTTCGATACCCGGTCCGTTCGTCATTAATTTTTTATCCGGGTCGACTTGTAGATCTACACACGACGCGACTGCAGCCACACACGACAACGCGGTGTAGACATGGTAGATATACACTCTGACATGCTCTCCATTGCTCACCGCCAGAGGAAAAGCAGTGTTCATCTCAAGTCCCTTCATTCCTTGACGCTTTCCACGATGTTTTCCCTGACAAGTGTCAGTTCCCCCTGCGTTCTGGTACATGTACATGGTGCGCTGCATCGACACCGATTTGTCTTGAGCAGTGACATGATGAAGGTCAGAACACGACAGGAGATGTCAGCAAGCTTGAATACTCGAGAACAAGCGAGTGTCGCGGGGACGGGAATGGACTGTGAACGACTAGTTGCTCCAGTCCGGATCAGAGCGGCAGAAGCTCGGGTAGAGCAATGACTATTGCCGACGTGCATGGACAGAGCTCAGTTCTGAGTTCTCCGCACCGCAGAAGGACGTCGATTGTTATCGTGCCTGAACTTAGGATTATCTTCGACGAAGAATAGTGTAAGGTAAGTCGCCGCATGATGTGCTTTATTCAATATTCATTGGTTTGAGGGGAAGATGAAAATGGGGAAAGTCTGAAGAAAAAAAATGATGGTCAACAGCGGGACTCGAACCGGGGACTATGGCCAGCGCTGCTCTACCACTAAGCTATGGACAAGTATGGTGTAGTCGTCCTCCAAGCAGCGACCGTTAAAGGGTAAGGCAAAAATCAAAATTTCACCAGTTGTAGTCTTCGGGGTGCTGAGTCGAATGGTCTTGGGCTGAGAAAGCTGAGACGCTCCCTTCCTACTTGAATCCCAATTGAACTCGCGCACTTCCACCGAAACTGGGTGACTGCGCCCTACTAGATGGGGATTTGTATGCAAAATGTCACTAAAAGCGCCATTTCGTTCTTATAAAAGCACGGATGACCGCGATTGGCCCACATGTTGTAGTCTTTTGGACGCTGAGTCGACTGGTTTTGGTCCGAAAAGGCTGCGATGCAGGGTTCCTCCTTTATTCCCAATCGAACATGGTTGAACAAGTGGTCACGTGCTCCTGCGTACACCAGTCACCTGGTCACCGTGCCTGCAGGGCAAGGGCGTCGGAACCGCACCGGCCGGGGCGGCCATGGCCGCCCCACTTTTTCGGCCGTTTTTTTTTTTTTTTTTTTTTTTTAGCACACTGCAACAAAGCGCGATGATCTCAGCGCAAACGTGGCAAATCCTTGTCCCCGATCGTGGTTTGTTGCAGAATCAAAAGTCCATGTACACTGAAATGGCACCAAATGCTTGGGAATGCTTGCAATTGGCTTCAATTTTTGAATTTTTTTCCCGGGGGAGGGTAATGTTTGTCCCCGATCGTAGCATCTTCTTGGTTTTTTGCAGAATCAAAAAGTCTTTCATTGTAGTTACCGTACACTGAAATGGCACCAAATGCCCGGAAATGCTTGCAATTGGCTTTAATTTTTGAAATTTTTTCCCGGGGGAGGACCCCCGGACCCCCCTTCCATGGCCGCCCCACTTCCAAAGTCCTTCCGACGCGCCTGCAGGGTACAACCAAGAGTACATAACCCCCAAGAGTGTGCAACTCCAGCTATGGGGTCTGCGACGGCAGAACTTCACATCACGTGATGAACCCGTACACATTATTTGCACTCTGTGCATGATAGATACAGGGTTGTACGCAGCCCAGCTTTGGGTACAACTCTCTTGTGGTCACTTTGCACTGTTTGCCAGCATAACCTTTTGAACCATGTCACGTGATGTGAAGTTCTGCCGTCGCAGCACACCATAGAGGTTGTGCAGGCAGTTGCACACTCTTGGGGGTTATGTACTCTTGGTACAACTTACTAGCCTGTTTGACCTTTTTTGGGTGCAGTCCTGTCACTCGAGTTGAACTCGAGTTGAACCTTGGTGTGAAAGTTGTCGCCTGCTGGCGTGGTGACCAGGTGATGTGGGCACCCAGAGCACGTGCCCGCTTGTTCAACCATGTTCGATTGGGAATAAAGGAGGAACGCTGCATCGCAGCCTTTTCGGACCAAAACCAGTCGACTCAGCGTCCAAAAGACTACAACATATGGGCCAATCGCGGTCATCCGTGCTTTTATCTCTTAATTTGCTAAATCCTATATATAGGATTTTGGTCATATTTTTCAACTCAAAATGGGTGTGGCATGAGAATAGCAAAAAGTATGTGACCAATTTTTCCTTGCTAGGTCTTAGTAGATATCGAGAGTTGAATAAGATAATTTTTTCAAACACTAACATCTCAGGCTTATCTCCTTGCCCGATATTACTAAGGCCTGTGCCCTATTTTTCGAATCCTATATATAGGATTTGAGATTTTATTGGACCTTGTTTTATCCTTAAAACTGGTAGTTTCATGACGGCATGTGCGATATGTCGTCATGAAACCACCCCGTGCCACACCTGCAATGTTCTTCTGCACATTCACTGCTTCAGTCCTTTCCATGACAGCAGCTGAACAATTATGCTCAAATTTCCAATTATTGCTGAAAATGGGTATTCATCAGAAATATTATCACCCTATGAATCTAAAATTCATGCCTCAAACATATTTACAACTTCCATGAAAACCATTATGTCGTTATTATTGGTCGTGATGACCAATAACAACGGCATAAAAGGCACACATTTTCAAATCCTATATATAGGATTTTCGGCCAGCAAATTAAGAGATAAGAACGAAATGGCGCTTTTAGTGACATTTTGCATACAAATCCCCATCTAGTAGGGCGCAGTCACCCAGTTTCGGTGGAAGTGCGCGAGTTCGATTGGGGTTCAAGTAGGAAGGGAGCGTCTCAGCTTTCTCGGACCAAGACCATTCGACTCAGCACCTCGAAGACTACAACTGGTGAAATTTTGATTTTGCCTTAACTTCCCCTTTAAACATTTTCTTCAGACTTCAGGCTTTATTCGAGTTAGCTGTTTATTTGTCGTCTTTGCAATGACCGGCATGGCAGCTAACTAACAAGAGAAGAGGATAACTACCTCCGACGTTGTCTATTCCGTTACTCCCCCCCCCTCCCCCGGTAGCTTGTTGGTGCCGGTTTTGACAAAAAAAGAAGAAGGGGAAGTGTCACGGTCCTGTGGAGTTTGTAGAATGTACCGCGCCATGGCAGGAGACCAGTTCTCCGTGAGCTGTAGAAATCGTTGGCAACGACACGGCATTGTCTTGTGTGAGTGGTCGGGTAAGGTTATGGCCATGGGAGACTGGGAGGGAGGCACTGGATGCTGACCATGTTGGCCATCAACAGCTCACACCCAACATACAGTAGTACCCCTCTCTCCCCCCCCCCCCCCAGGGCAGACTCCCTGATCCGTGTACTCCTGTCTACTGGGCACCTTTCCTGCCCCTCAGGACTTACAACTGAAATTAGGCTTTTCAATGGGAAATGGCCCCAAATAGTATTGATAGGTATGAAAAAATGTTAAAATCGCATACACTATGTATGATTATGTTCTGAGTTGCTAATTTGGATGCTTTGAAAGGGGAGGCTGAGAAGTAGAGCAGGAGAGAACTCTCAGAGTTATGTTTCGAGGCACATATTCAAAACTGATTCAAATGCTCCTGGCCTACAGTAATGCTAGCAATGCTCTACACAGAATTTGTTTTCTGAGTGCCCATCTTGTTGGCTGTGTGCATTCCTGACAGGTTGTCAGCATTCATCATGAGACGGCTACTGTGCATTGCCTTGGTCTGCATGGCAGTCCTGCAGCTTACCAACTCCATGCCTAGTAAGTTAAAAGGGCAGTAACATGCTGATTATCTGTACATAACACACTTGGCCAACACTACTGGAATCTCCGGAAAAATCTAGGAAAACTCGCTTTCGTCCCAGTATACCAGAATAGTAACAGTATAATATCTACCAGATTGTCGAAAAATGTCCATCAGCACCTTTCGTTTTTCTTGATTTTCATATTTTGGACGCTCGCTCGCAGTGCTCCGTGCCCACAACTGAGTTCTAGCGAGCAAGAACTCTTGTGTTAGCGCTGAATAAGTACGTTTCTGTCGTACATGCTGTACTATTTGCGAATGTTTTGCGATCATGGTGATGTCATTATGATGTAATATTAGGGCTGAAACGATTACACCGAATAATCGAGTACTCGTTTGATAACTCTAATGATTGAGCAATCATTTAGATTACCGATTACGATTATTTTGCGTTTTTTAAATTTGTGTCCAGAAAGTACTGTAAACCCTCGTTTTGTGAAGTTTGAATCAGTTTCCGCTGGGAGTATGCCATGTTTCGGAGCTACCCTTTCACTAATGCAGATTTGTTGGTATTATGAAGGCATAGTTTGTGGAAACAGAGTAATGTTTGCACAGAATTATGACTGTATTTGCTAACGATTATAATCGATTACTTGATCGTTAAGCTAAAGAGTAATCGATACGTGAAAATTCACGATCGTTTCAGCCCTATACAGTAATATGCAATATTTTGCACAATTATGATGTAAAAATAGCAGATCAAGGAAAAGTGGGCAACATCAAGGAACAAACCTCATTAGTGTCAAGGCCTTGCAACTGGGGTTAACTATCCAAACAACGACTCCAGCTTTGCATGTTTTAGGCAGGCATCTGCCCGCTCCCTTTTCCGAATATGCACCTCGTCCTACCCTTTGGAGACTCAGAGTCTTCACCCCAAGTGGGCAGGCAGATGACCGGCACTCTGATGAAAATTCAGTGACTATAACCCAATTGGTTTGTCATCATGGCATGCCTAGGAAACCAGATAATTCTTCCAATTAGGCCACCAGACTCTGCATTACTCTGCATTACTCTGCATTACTCTGCATTACTCTGCATTACTATGGTACGCTGGTACTGGTCATGTACATATAGACAACTCCCAGGCTGTGTCCTAGGTACAGTATTTTCCAGAGTATAAGCGCTAATTTAAACACTGGTAATTCACCCAAAAACAGTCTTCGGGCAGTGTCCCACCGTTAGGCGCTGCATCTGCCGCTAGGGTTAACCGGGTGTTAGCGGCCGTGGTGAGTTCCCTTCGGGAACGGACACGATAATTTAAAAAAAAAACTTTTTTAATACTCCAGTGCGTCTTATACTCCAGCGTGGCTTTATAATAATAACTCTGGAAAATACGGTAGTTTTAGTTACTGGGCCATACCATTGTCCAGACATCCGCATTTTGCTGCTCAGAGGTATTGGAGGCAAGGCAACAAGGGCATGGCATGGTCACTCCACTTTTGTCGGGTATGTTTTTCCTGATCCATCAGGTGACAAAACAGCTTCCTTGAGGAGTTCTGCGCTCTAAAAGTGCTACTGTCCCATTGTATTCTGATCCCTGATCAAATTGGTCAGGGGCGTCGGAAGGTATTTCAGGGTGTGGTGAGGTCAGCCACCCAAAGTACAGTATACTCGTGGAGTGTGGGTGGCTCCTCTGAAATATTTCTCAAATTTAGAACCCAGATCAGTGCAATTTATTAATTCACGTGGCCCATGGGACAAAGAATGGTACGGTCAAAACCATAGTGACCGTAGCGTGTCCAACGCCCCTGAATACTCTTTCACAATATTTCCGGGAGGTTCCGGGCACCTAAAATCTATCCGTCAAACTTCTTATAGTGCTTCTGCTGTCTACGCTGGACCTTTCTTGCAAAGTCCACAGGGTCATGCACCCCTTGAAAGGGGGTCGTGCACCCCCTCAAAGGGGGACAAGCTACGCCCCTGATCGGTGTCACTCGTAATGTTGCTGTTCTCCTTCTCCTGCAGTGGGACACAATGAACCGGCATCGGCTGGTGTCGCTGGCAAGCACAATGAAGATAGCGTCGGAATCACAAGCGGCAGGCATGCACGGAACATGTACGATGATGAGAGCGACGCCAACAGTGATGATGACGGTGTGTCTGATGATGCACTGGATGAGGCTAATGGCATACTGGATGGACTGCTAGCCCAGAACCACAACATTGACGGGAGCAGTAGCGAGATGTTCGCTTCATCTCAAGAAGATAGCGAATCCGACTCCGCAGCTGCCTACTCCGATGCAGATGCCAGTGATATGGAATCTGACGAGAATGATCTGTCCATGTTCAGAGAATCTGACTTTAACGCCGACAGCTTGGATGAAGCAGAGGGTAGTGAGGCTGAATTGTCTCTTTTGAATGAGGCCGATGAAGATGCAAATAGCTGGCAAGGCATGCGTGAAGAAGCAGCATCGGAAGAAGACGGCGTCTTTGATTCTAAAGCTGCAGATTTCAACTCCGACTCTACTAGCAGCGAAATGTCCAATTCCAGAGACGACGATTCTGATCTTGCTACTTTAAGGGACATGGATGACGCAGAGAATGATTTTGTTTCCAGCTCCAACGACGCGATTGACGAAGCAGACAGCTTGCAAAGCAACAGAGCCAATGATGAGGCTCTGGGGTTTCAAGCCACGGATGATGATGCTGAAAACTCGCAAATGGACGAAGATCATGCCCTGACTGCCAGGTACAAAGCCCAGCTTGAGAAGATGTCGCGTTCAGATGATACCGAGCTGGACGCAGACAGCTGGGGCAACACCGTCGAAGCTGACAGTGATGCATTGACTGATGACAACACCGCTGAGAATAGTTACAATTCGGACTCTGTCTCCGAGAATGATGATGATGATGCCCAGTTGCAATACGACGAAGACGACGCGGCGATCGACACACGAGTGGATGATTCCGACATGCTCGACTCATTTGAGGCCGAGTCTGACAACGCTGATGCTCTGGATGCCACACAGTACAGTGCCGATGCAGTTGACGACTCTTCATGGCTGGATGACATGGCGCAGACGGCCAGCTCTTCGTCGAACGAAGCTGATGAGAGTTTCGATGACACACTCAGCTCCTCTTATGCAGAAAACGACGCATCAAGTGATGCAGTCCTAGCTGAGAACAGCGATGCCGTGAGCGATTCCCTAGCTGCGTCCGATGACCTGGAATTCAACCAGGAAATGACATCATCGGATGACATCACCGACAGTGAGCAGCAGCAAGAGCAGTGGGATGATGACAGTGACTACCACCACACTGGAAACGGACCTGATGATGTCGATGCTGATGGCCAGAGTCTGTGGGAGAGGGTAGCTGCCGGCGAGACACGCAACAGCGATCAAGGTATGTGATCATGTTTTATTACGCAAGCCAACTTCTCTCTGGTCTTCTGCACTCTCTAACATTGCACATCGCTTACCAACAAAATTATGTTCCTGCTTTCTCCTGAGATTAATTTCAAACAAAAAATTTAAAAACGTCGAGGGATTTAAGGTAGCTCGATAGGAAGTCAAAAACTGGTCTTCTGCGCATCTTTCTGCGCATCACGTCACCCCGCAGCCAAGATCCGCGTGCATGCGCTTCCCATTAACTGGCCGTGCCTGTGCATGCAGTGGTGCTAGATGAATCTCCCCTCCCCTCTCCCCCTGGATCACCTGTAAGGTTTTGTGCAGTTGCCTTGCACCTTCAAGTACTCTCTTATGATGATACTAAGAAGTATTGGTGCTGCAGACAACAGTCGTTTTGCCCTATACTAGTAGGGCACAGCAGCAAAGCAAAGCTTTTTGATGAATTTTCAGCACTGCTTCTAGGTCCGTTCTTGTTTCTCTACACTTCGCTGAGGAGTCCACAAGGGTGAAACTCAGTATATGTACTACTGTACATAGATGATGGATAGCAGAGGCTTTCCAGCCAGATTCAAGGCCACACGTTTCCACGAAACCTTTGATGAAAACTGCTGCTGCAGCTTAGAGACTCCGAACACTCGTTTCATACAGCAAATACAGATGAGACCGTCATGCATATTGTGTCTCCAATAGCAGTGTGCTGCTTACGTTTATGCCCAGTGTGATTTTCACCCCCAAAATACCTTAGCAGTGTTACACATCCTTGACTGGTCCGTTCTTGGGCACCGTACCCGATACACCATATTTCTGGCATGTATGTCTGGGAGAATGGCTGCAATGGAGTCTGCATGGACTTTGAAAAGCTTATGTTCGAATAGATTCTTGGTTGATTGCTGCGGATTTAAAAATCACGACTGTATTTGACTTGAAGAGTAATGGTACGAAAGGTCTCGTCGAAGCTATAATGGCTTCTGTGCTTAGTGTGCTGGAAAGCTTATGTCTGTGTGTGCGTGCTCATCACTCCCTATTCTGCAGTGGCTAGTGACGAGCAGAGCAGCAGCAGCAGCAGCAGCAGCGAAAGCGATGAGATTGATGAAATGCTACAGGAGCTACAGGAGACAGACGCGGAGTCCCTCGATTCGACGATGGGTGACAATGATGATGACCTTGAAGTGGACCTGGATAGCCTTGGTCGAAAAAGGCGCTGAGCATATTCAAATAGCGTCAGTCCCGAGAAACCCTTTGCACTGCTCATTAGTTCAGTAACATTCTGGTTATGTCTTTTTCCCGTTTTAACTCCCTTAAACTTTTGAATGCTGTATTGTTTTCCTCTAAGTATATACCCTTGCTGCTTCTCTGAAGAGCCGATGCTGCTTTCTGAGATGTTCTGGACTAAGGGCATATTGTACTCTCTTTCAAGTGCCGGCATAAACATGATAAATAACACATGATTTCCTGAGCTGGCCACTTCTGAATGAGCATGCCGGTCACGTGGGCCTTCGGGATTATCCCAGAGGTGACGCTTCTTTGCCGGAGACCAGACAGTCTGGCGTGCACTACTGTCAGAACAAACACCATATCTACACGATGCAGCTGAGCAGATGATCACCATGCTTCCGCCCATATTCTACTGTTCTCCGTCTTCACGTTGTATGATCCCCCCCCTCCCTACCCCCTGCCCCCTCCCCCCCCCCCATGCCCCTGCTCCCTACTCACTACCCCAACATAAACGTAAGTAGTTTTCACTGCTTGGTTGGAGATACTACAATGTATGGGCTGCACTCTGCAGTGTCTCCCCACTCACAGGTATATGTATGTAGTGTGTGGACAGTCTAACTCTGTCAAATACCAAGTGCCACAATAATACTACTACTATGAACAGGTCGCATATTGCCCGCATAAACAAATCATACGGGGTCATGCATCTGTCAATGATCGTTAACCAGAGTTGCTTGTTGCCACAAACATGTAACAATTATGACCCTCGCTCCTTTTATCTCCTATGTACCGGTATGTCCGGTACCCGTCGAAATATTAAATCACATACATACTGGTACATTCACACACTTGAGAGGGACGAAACGCGTTTCTTCTGTAACTCTGAGTTTCACGGTTTTAACCGATCATCAGGCAGCAACTCGTACATTCTAAAACTTTGAAGTTCCATTGCAGCCTTCTCTCATTATGCCCTCCTGGGTGAAATTTGGAAACAATCGTTGGACGTGTTGTAGCCTAGGACTCTTCGTGTGTTACAGGTTGGGGAGGTGAAGTGAAAACAAACATCATATGCATGATATGTGTGTGTGCGTGTGTGTGTGTGCGTGTGTGTGTGTGTGTGTGCGTGTGCGTGTGTGTGTGTGTGCGTGTGTGTGTGTCTGCGTGTGCGTGTGTGTGTGTGTGTGTGTGTGTGCGTGTGTGTGCGTGTGTGTGTGTGTGTGCGTGTGCACGTGTGCGTGCGTGTGCGTGTGTGTGTGTGTGTGTCTGCATGTGGTGTGGGTGTGTGTAGAAAAAATGAAAAAATGAAAAAATAAGGATTCACTGGCCTGAAAAAGTCACTTCAAACAGCTGTGTGGTGGATACCAGGCTAAAAATAGTGGCGGTCAATTCATCAGCCTTGCAAGCTGTTGAATGGTGTAATCCCAGCTCAAGTTGCTATGTCCAACATAGCTGTTCGCTATCATCGCTTCCGCGATGGGCATGTCTGAAGTCTGAGGTGTCTGCATGTATCGCTCTCTCACACACAGGCACACACAGTACAGCCAGTAGGGGTAAGCAGATTATGCTGGCATATGTTTTGGCATAATCAGGTCCTTTTTGAGAAGGAGCATAAAATGGCATCCGAAAAACAAGGGCAGATGCCCAATGTTTGTTTGTTTGTTTCTTTTATTTGAATTCGTTTAGAGCACAGGCAATTCTGCCTTCTCACCAGAGGAAAAACCTCCGGTTTCTGCGAAGAACGAATATAATATTATGAGAGAAGGAAATATTAAAAAGAATCATAACAATCATGATAATTCCAAAGCACAAAGTTTGTATATAATTCAAATGGGTGTGTGTATGCAATGAGGCTGTTATAATACACACCTGCTATTGAAGGACCATAGCGCTTCTTGTCGATTTGGAATAATATTTTAGCAGCCACTACAGGACATCTCCCTAAAGTTCAGCGTTTGCTTGTGAATTTGGTGTTCCTCTTGCATATTATTGTCTTGTACTTCCACAAAGCTCCCAGTCCACATCATGACAATGGTCTGAGTTCTTTTTTTCATGACGATTATCTGTTCGTTTGGTCTTTTTGCTGAAGAATATAAAACATAAATGGCTGTTTTCTCGAGCATCCTGCCAGCATCCGCTAGAACATAATCTGGTCATTTCCCGAGCATAATCCGCTTACCGTAACCCCTAACAACTAGCATACTTTACAGTACATGGTAGATCTACACCATGGTAAACACGCACACACACACACACACACACACACACACACACTCACACACACACACACTCACACACACACACACACACACACTCACACACACACACATGCACACACACACACACACACACACACACACACACACACACTCACACAGACACACACACACATACACACACACACATACACACACATACACACACACACATACACACACACACACACACACGCGGTCACACATGAAAAGCTTGCACCGCTTTCGCGGAACACACATGGAGGTCACATGTCGACTATGTAGTAGTAGTATTGACATATCCGCGGCAAGCCGCTTATGTACAACGGCATGGGAGAGGATAACAAAAAATGAAAATATAATTATTGTTGGGGAAATCCACGCTATTATCGAATATTCAACAATGACGGGTGTGGGGTTATACCAAATTCCCATAATGTGGAAGTACGTTATTATTGTTGAAAGCACTAGGTGATCTGCACTCTACAATGTGACCTGTGCGATTATATCGTTGAATGATTGCCTGTTCCGAGCCACCAAACGCAGTGTCTCCAGGTCCTTCAGACTCCGGAGACGCATGGACGTTGCCTTAGCTAATTCGTTGTCTATCACCACTGGTAGGGTGATGCGCGGGCGTCCGAGCCAGCCCCGATTCTGTCGCTGGAAATACGCTGTCATGCTCACCTGTGCTGGAGTTGCTTCAGGGAGGCGTAGAATATGACCAAACAGTTTCCACCGTGCTCTTCTGCTTAGTACGGATATTGGCTCGGCATTGCAGCGGGCATATAGGTCTGTGTTGGAGATAATTTCCGGGTAAGATATCCCTAATAGACGGCGGAGCTGCTTTCTGTGGAACGCATCCATTGCTGTAGCATCCCGGGATGAAAGCACCCACACGCCGCAGTTGTAGGTCAAAATAGATAGCACAAATGCATCAAACAACCTCAGGCGGGTTGCTTCAGAGATAACTTGTCTCCGCATCCACAGGTTGACAAGTGTGTTGAAGGCAGCTGCGGCTTGCTGGCGCCGGCGCTTGAGGTCTTCTGTGACTCCGTACAGTGAACCAAGCAACCGGGTGGACCTCCATCGTTCCTCACCTCTTCTTGCAACATCCTCTTCTTGGTATAGATGGGTCCACTCGGTCTTGGTAGGGTTGATGTTGAGGTTCCACTCTTTGAACACTACCTCTGCCTCTGTTAGTGCGCACGCTAGATGTTGACGGTCCGTGGAGTACAGGTTAACGTCGTCCATGTATGCTGTTTCGCAAGGTATGGACATATCGACAGTCGTGTAGGCTGTCCCTCCAATATTCAGTATGGCAGGTCTTGGCGATATCCTGGGACGCAGGCAACGCATTGTCGCTTCGAGATAACAGGTGAATAGCACCGGCGACAAACTATCTCCTTGTGGGATGCCTATTGATGTTGGAAATTCTGCCGAGAGCGCATTCTTTATCTTCACTCTTAGCCTTGTGTTGTGCAACAACATCTCCACCATTCGTACCTCATCTGTGTTAACTATTTGTTTCATTACCTCCACCAATCTTCCCCGCTGCACTGTGTCGAACGCCTTGCTCATATCCATTCCGAGGACCGTACATTGCCACTTGAAACGTTCAGCCTTGGCTGCCAGCCACCGGCCACACCAGACAAAATCCGCGGTACTCCGACCCGGACGGGAAGCGCTCTGGGTTGGAGATAGGTAGGAGTCAATCTTTGGCATAATCCTGCGAAGTGTGATTGTAGACAGGCATTTGCGTATAGAGTTCAAGAGTATTATTGGCCTGATACTGGTTAGCGGCCCTCTGGGTTTCCCTGGTTTCGGGAGCGGGATTAGTGTTCCACATCCAAGATCCATTCCACTGCCATCCGCAAAACATTGGTTTAGAATGGCAGCGATCTCATGTGTGACCCTCTCACCAGCATGCTTGAACAGGTCCCCGGGGATGCCATCCGGCCCAGCTGCCCTCTGCGATTTCAGTAATCTAATTGCCAGGGCAACCTCCGCAGCGCTGATCCTATCTTCAAGATACTTCGAGCCCAGCGGTCTCAGAATATCATTTACTGCGGATGGATCCCGAAACTGCTGCCTGAAGTGGTCAGCTACCTTCTCTGCCGCTTCTTTATCGTTGGCGATTATCTGTCCAAGAGCGTCATGAACAACCAATGGCGCGGGAGACTGCCGCCGCATCAAAGAGGCTGCTTGGAAGACCCTTGCATTGTTTTTCAGCTTCTCTACTTCTTGAGCGAAGGAGTCCAGGCGGGCTTCAGAGTTGTTCCGGGCGATATCTCGTATCTGGTGTAATATCTGATTCCGATCGCTTTTCAGTGATTTCCTCCCGTCTGGGCATTTTGTCGAGTCGATTTTTACCCGCAGTTCTTTTTGTTGGGCTGATAGAAGGGCTATGCCAGGATCATGGGCTTTTCGGCTACATTCGGCTCTCTTTTTATATCCAACTGTTTTTGTTGCAGCCGACTCCAGTGCATCCCTCACACCTCCGAAACGTGCCTCAGCTGAAACAGTTCCCTGCTGCGTTTGTTGCGTTGCCAGTGCTTTGTCTACCTCCTCCTGGAATTGACTACAGACCTGGGGGTTCTGAGTAAACATCGAGGTGTTGAAGCTACGCTTAGTTGTCTGGTTTCCCTTCCGCCAGATTGGAAATAACGCACGAAGCTGCAGTGTGGCAATGACTATTCTGTGGTCCGTTGGTGTCTCGCAGCCTGCATAGCTACGTGCATTACACAGCAGTGGCTTGTGTTGCGTACGGCAAAGAACAAAATCGATCTGGTTGTAGACAGGTTTTGGGCCAACTTCTCCACTCCCAGGTCGCCGCCAACCCGTCCATGTAGTGCGGTGGCTCTGGCGGTGTTGAAAAGCTGTATTGGCCAAGAAGGCATCATTTTCAATTGACCATTCCAACATGTGTTGTCCGTTATCATTTCTGGCGCCTCTGCTGAAGGAGCCTAGCCATTTACTTTCATCAGCTCTCTTACGAATTCCAACTTTGCTGTTGAAGTCTCCAGCGATGAAGCATAGAACTCCGCTTCTCGTTGTATCTTTCCATACAGTCGACAAGGCGCTGTAGAACTCCTCTCTCAGCGATGGGTTCTCTTCACAGGAAACAGCGGTAGGGCCATATGCACTTATGACACGTACCGTGTTGTGAGTTGGTTTACAATTACTATTATTTTTGTTGCAAGGGAAAACAAATTCCGCAACACCAATTCTCTCACCAACGCTCCAGTATCTTGACAGGAACGGGTCCAGACGAGGAGCGACGACAATGCCTACTCCTCGCTGATATCCATAGTCCTGAGCGAACGTTATGAGCCGGTACCCCAGCGGTAACACGGTACAATTTGCTTCACAAATTTTTGTTTCTTGGACTGCACAAACATCAACTCGATACCGCTTGAGGTCTCGTTCGAGCGTGTCGACTATGTGTCACGTAGAACAGCACAAACCATAGGGCACGGGCGTTCACTAACGCTGAGAGCTCGACGGTCGTGGTACACCAGTATGGTAAACAGCCAGCTGTGTTATGCTTCAGCAGCATTCTACCCAAGCCTCACTGCTCAGCTTCTCGACCGTTTGGGGAAGATCAGCAAGGCTGGAGTCAGAGTACATGACGGGACTTTTGACCTTTGGACGCCCATCGCCGGAGTCCGGAGGGCGATGATAGCGATGCTAGCTACGCGTAGATCTACGGTAGAAGCCATCCAACTAACCGTAGGCGTAGACTCTACTTGTGCTGGGATTGCATGCACCACTACTTGCTACGTCAGTACGTGGCCAGGTGCTAGGCACAAGCACTTGCGCTGTACAGTGCCATGTCAGTGGATCAGCCGCAGAGCTTCCAGTTCCACGCACTCTTCAGTTACTTCGCATTTCTACAAGTACAGCCGCAGCCACAGGCACGCTAATCCGTGACCTGGTGACTGTCTCTGGATTCGAAGCCACTACACGTCTTCAACTAACTGTTACTTACATACAAGGCAATCCGACATGGCACTGAGAAGCCTCGTAGATCTATTGTTGTTTGGTCAAGTAGTTCTAGTTTTACAGGTTTCTCGTTCAATTTAGGCCGAGGATCTGAGCAGGCTACACTCCCCGCCGCCTTCGCCCATACCGGAGCAGTGACGGAAATGATGCCTGCTCAAGAATGATCGCACACACACGTAGAAAAAAAATGGGACCAGTCATCTCTTGCTCTCGAACTAGAGCTACACGCGTGCGTATACATTTTGGGTGTATATGGAAGGAAACTATCTGTTGGTGAACGCACGGAGACGCTACGCCGAGCGAGGAACGACTCACCGAAGCATTCCCACAATCCTGTGCTTCGCCCAGGGCATTCGAAAGTTTTCGTCGGGTTTGTTGTTTGTGGGAGACAGGACGGAGTTAGCGGAAGCGAGCGGCCGTCACTATGGCAGATAACACTTCCAATCATCCGGTAATATCTGGATACCTAACTAAAAATGTAAGTACCGTTAGTCTACCATGAATGATAGTACCATCACTATAACCCCCCGTGCCAGAGTAGGAAAGCTGGTGTCGCACTACCCCTACCGGTCTGAGTGGAGAATCGGGAAGGACGACAGACTGCCGACGCAATGTGAACGTAGCCGCTACTAGTACAATGTAGTATTTAATATACTTGGAAGCGTGTTTTATTGACCGCATAAATGATGATGCAAAGAAAGAAAAGGCCACCGGAGATATGATGCTGGATTTGAAAGAAGAAGAGAAAAAAGAAGAGGAAAAGAAACCCGACCAAGAGAATTCAAGCATTGCACCCAGGAAGCAAACATGAACTCAATCCCTAGCATAGGCTCAATGAGGTCATGTATTTGTACAAATTTCAAAAGGATCCAAGTAAAACTCCAACAAACCTCCCACCAACACAATGGCAGCCAGAAACCATAACGAGAGAAACGAATTCTAATAGTTGAAGTATTGCAAAGCAACAGCAAAAATCGAATACCAACACAGTCAACAAAAAAAGAAGGAAAAAGACATTCGATAGACAAGTCCAGTTACTGCACACGTGACATGTGCGCCAGTGCGCGGCACTCGGTTACGAAACCATGACGGCCTGCACCGGACACACCACGAGCATACGATGGTCTTGACCCCCGGAAACATGTTATCTGCCACCGGATTAGGGAGGTACCTATCCTCGATTGCAGGTGACCAAGGACAAGGGCGTACTGAAGATCCCGATTCGTATCCGCTATATGGGCCGCCGGTGTCTTCAGAAATCTTCTGCACTCCGGCGCACTTTGACCGTTTGTTGCAAAAACCAGAGGGGTAAACGACAAACGATGCACCTGGTTAATTCGGTCTGCATACTGCCGCTTCTTCTGGCGCTCATGCTGGGGCACCTGACCCGCCACTTCCGGTCCAGACAGCAAAGACCGCCTCGGGTGAGTCACCCACACATCAAAACAACGGCGTTTTGCTGCCTGGTCCAGAAGCCACAAGCCCGTATGTCCACGCGCCATCAGCCAAATGTAGTATTACTGCGTCTACTACTACCACTACCCTGCTTCTTCTCCAGATAATCTTGGAATTTTCAATACAGTCTCTCTCTCTCTCTCTCTCTCTCTCCCTCTCTCTCTCTCGTTGTCTGTCTGTCTGTCTGTCTGTCTGTCTGTCTGTCTGTCTGTCTGTCTGTCTGTCTGTCTGTCTGTCTGTCTGTCTCTGTCTCTCTGTCTCTCTGTCTCTCTGTCTCTCTGTCTGTCTCTCTGTCTCTCTCTCTGTCTCTCTCTCTGTCTCTCTCTCTGTCTCTCTCTCTGTCTCTCTCTCTGTCTCTCTCTCTGTCTCTCTCTCTGTCTCTCTCTCTGTCTCTCTCTCTGTCTCTCTCTCTGTCTCTCTCTCTGTCTCTCTCTCTCTCTCTGTCTCTCTCTCTCTGTCTCTCTCTCTCTCTCTCTCTCTCTCTCTCTCTCTCTCTCTCTCTCTCTCTCTCTCTCTCTCTCTCTCCTTCCCTCTCTCTCGTTGTCTGTCTGTCTGTCTGTCTGTCTGTCTGTCTGTCTGTCTGTCTGTCTGTCTCTATCTATCTATCTATCTATCTATCTATCTATCTATCTATCTATCTATCAATCTTTCTGTTGAGTACGAAAAGGATGAGTCATACTCCCCAAGACACAACGGACAACGGGAACAGGTAGGTTGAACAACATTTATTATAGACGAAGAGACGGAGACCAAGACGAACGAAACGACTACATTGTGGAAGAGAGGGAGAAAGATCGAGTGAGGGCGGCAAGATAAAGGGCCTGGGTAGCTATGACAAATATGGGTGCGCAAGTAGCTACCCAGGCCAATGGTAGAATAGGTGACAAAAGGAGACAAAAGGTGAGTACGAGGGTGCATGCAGGCCAGCTTGGAAAAGGTTGTACAACGTATGGGAGGAGGTACCTAACATATCTATCTATCTGTTAGGTACCTCCTCCCGTACATTCTACAACCTTTTCCAGCTGGCCTGTATTATGTCCATGCACCCCGTACTTACCCTCATAAAGTCAACTTCGCTAATAACGACTGTGGATATAATGACAATTCGTGAATAACGACAGAATTTCCATGCCCAGAGCAAAGTCTGATCTAACTGTAATACATAATAACAAGAGTAGATAAACAAGAGTGTGCAACTCGCGGATGGGTTGGCCCACGGCGGAATTTTTTGTTGACGTAATCTTTTCGACGACGCACGCGCTGCGAGCCTTTTGGAGAGTTTTCCCTCGTGCACTTGGCTGGGCTTTACACTACAAGGTCGGTGCCCAGCACGTGCTCTCACACTGCTCTGCGGCAGAATCCGCGTTTCTCTGAAAAAAGGTGACGTCAACAAAAAATTCCGCCGCGGGCGCGGGGTATCTGCAGATTGTGCAGGAGAGATCCGGAGTTGCACACTCTTGTTTATCTACTCTTGATAATAATATAATGATAAAAAGGCGACGTGGAGACAATAACCTTAATAATTCAATGAATATAACTAAATGCGCACTCATATCACAACCATGGGGACGAATAATGTATTCCAGAACGTTTCGGCTTGTCACAATTATCAATGGAATTCTGATGCCTCGCCGAGTGTCGTTATACGCAAAGTTGACTGTACTCACCTTTTGTTCCGTTGGCCTGGGTAGCTACTTGCGTGCCCATATTTGCCATAGCTACCCAGGCCCTTCATCTTGCATGTTCTCTAAAAACTCCCTCTCTTCCACCATGTAGTCGTTTAGTTCGTCTGTCTCGCCTTCTCTCAGTCTACAATAAATTTCTTCCCACTACTAGTGCCTGTCCCAAGTTGTTCCTTTGTGTCTGTGATAATGGACTCCTTTTGTGATTCAGCATATCTATCTATCTATCTATCTATCTCTGTCTCTCTCTCATTATGTTATCTGCCTCTCTCATTTGCATGTATCTGTGTCTGTGTGTTTGTATGCATGTGTGTGCATGTGTGGTTGCATGTGTATGTGTGTTTACTCACCCCCCCCCTATCCATCTAAATACTTCAAAATACCTCTTCATGTCTCTCTCTCTCTCTTTCTGTATCGTGCAGAGCAAGAAGGTGTGTTATGCCGTGGTCAAGGGTAGAACGAAACAGCACAGTGAACGGCTAGAATTCTACGCCGACAAGATACACTATCTCAGTCACAACTCCAAACCGAACAAAGTGATCAAGTTCAAGAATATGGAATCGGTGGGATTTCTAGGCATGAGCCCCGGAAAGATTGCAAACACCACAACAGGTAATGTCCAATTGCAATCACCCCTTTGTTAACCCTCAATCATTTCAATGCCTTGCTTTTTGTATTATCCTTTTGATCGTAATTCTTTTTAAATTATACTTATAAAAACCTCCATTGATTGTCGTGTAGGGTTAGAAGTTTCTATACTTCATACACACCTGTATAAAAAACCTGGTGGCTATAAAAAACCTGTATAAAAAAACTGTATAAAAAACCTCTTTTTAGGGGTAGATGAGAACAAGAGATAAGAGTATTCACGAAAACAGTACAAACAGATGCAGAGCAAGATCAGAAGAGCACAAATTGAACTGGAAAGGTTAAATAGTCCACTCAAGAATGGTAAGATGAGAGACACATACATATGATCAAAAGGAGAGAATTGAGCTACTCACTCCCTGTTGTGTATCGGTAGAAAGACTTTTCATGGCTCTTTTTGTTGTGGTCCTTTCGTTTATTTTGGTTTGTTTTGCGTTCTGCTTTGACTTGTTTTGGTTGCATGTATAGTTTGTACATGATCCAAGTAACGGTTACGTCATTGTCATACGTTGTGTTTTGTTGCGCGCATGCTCGTATGCTGCCATAAATGTTAGTCTTTTTCTTCAGTTATCAGTTTACCTCGTCGTGTCCGGTCTTCTTGTGCGTCCGTCTCCGTCTTGTCAAGAAATTATGTAGAACTCTCAGTTCAGTTTCGTTGTTGTGTGTGGCGGGTCGGATGGGCAGGGAGGCTGGGCCCCTGACACCTGGACAACATGTGCGCGTGCACAAAATTTGGCGATCACGCCAGGATTGTCAGGGAGACGAGGAACTGGAAGGAACTCCGGTGCGAAGGAAAACGCATCGTGAACAAATCACCGAAACGACGTCGTCTGAGCTGAAGGCGCTGAGCGAGGAAACGTCTGCGAGGAGTGGCTGGCTCGTCGGAGCTGAATGCGCTGAGGGCAGATGAAATGGATGAACATCTGCGAGGAGTGGCTGGTCCGTCGGAGTTGAATGCGCTGAGGGCAGGGACGTCCCGCGAGGTGGCTGGTGAAGACGACGACTCGGAGGTTGGTGCGACGGAAGTCGTTGGAGCTGTTGTAAAATGATGTGTTGTTTTCCTGTGTGATGGCATTCCCCAAACTGTCTCGTCTTTTGTGATATGAGCATGCGCGATTTTGTAGTCGAGAGTCCTTTTGTCAGTCTACTTGTTCGTCCCTTTGAGTGTTGTCTCCATTTCCGTAATGTCAATAATAATTATGTAAACCAAACTAGTCTTGTCCTTTGTGTCCTGCGTCCCGGGGAACGGAATGGCTGAGATTCCGTAACAACGTGGTGCCGAAACCCGGGACGCAGAGGATGAGTAAGTTTGTCATGAGTCTGTTCGTCGTCGTCAACAACTAATACAAGTAATAGTACAACTAGAGAGTAAGCGTGGGGATGGAGGAGAGACGAGGAGCTGGTGGAAGCGGAAGAAGACGCGGAGAGGAGGCAGAGAAGGTGGTGGACCGGCAGAAGCTGGGGACTGGAGCCTGGGACGGCAGGTACCGCATGGAGCGTGTGGCCGTGGCTCGCCAGAGGCCAGTGGATGAGTCTGGCATCACCGACTGTGTGTCGTCCTTTGTTGTTCGTCTTGTTGTTGTCTTGCTCGCTGTGTTGCCTGATCGTATTTCTCTCGCTGTTCAGTTCGTTGCTGTGTTGTTGAGTTTGGTTGTCGGTATGTTGCTCTTCTCGTCGTTGTGTTCTGCATTAATTTGCGTTGTAGATTTATTTTGCGCTGCTGCGCTCATGTTGTTATTTGTTGGAGCTTTGGCTCTCGTGTTTCGGTTATTCTTGTGTGCCTGAGTTTAGAGCGTCGGCTCTTGTGTCTTGGTTTTGGCCCTGTGTCGTGGCCCAGTTTTGTTGTGCTACAATGTAAGCTGTTGGTTGGTTTTTCTGTTTTGCTGTGGTTCCTTTTGCTGTTGTGCATGTGGAACGTGGTGTCGGTTTATTATTTTGTGGAATGTCATCAAGGGGGCAGGTGTTGTAAAATGATGTGTTGTTTTCCTGTGTGATGGCATTCCCCAAACTGTCTCGTCTTTTGTGATATGAGCATGCGCGATTTTGTAGTCGAGAGTCCTTTTGTCAGTCTACTTGTTCGTCCCTTTGAGTGTTGTCTCCATTTCCGTAATGTCAATAATAATTATGTAAACCAAACTAGTCTTGTCCTTTGTGTCCTGCGTCCCGGGGAACGGAATGGCTGAGATTCCGTAACAGAGCTGAATGCGCTGAGGGTAGACGAAGTCGGATAAACGTCTGCGATGAGTGGCTGGTTCCTACGACAAGGACGGTGCGAAGGAAAACGCATCGTGAGCAAATAACCCCATGTGAGTGTGACGCGGAGTTTAGAAGGTGCTCCTGCTGTGATTTGTTGACTAGTTTGATTCGATTTGTTTTGAGTGGTTTGGTTTGCTCGATTTGTTTGTTAGTTCGAGTTTGGTAGTTCGGTTTGCTCGAGTTGTTGATTAGTTTGTTTTGCTCGAGTTGTTTGTTAGTTCGAGTTTGGTAGTTCGGTTTGCTCGATTTGTTTGAGTTTGATTTGTTTGTCCCTGGTCGGACGTTGCCTTTCGTTGGAGTTTTGTTGGCGTGTCGATCGTTTATTTGTTTATTTGTTGCCTCTTGTAGTTAGCTTGATTAGTACGCTTGCGGCGTATACTCGTAGGGCACAGTGTTCGCAGTCCTCGTAGAACCCTGAAAAGGTCTTTGGTGGGGAATATGTTGTGTATCGGTAGAAAGACTTTTCATGGCTCTTTTTGTTGTGGTCCTTTCGTTTATTTTGGTTTGTTTTGCGTTCTGCTTTGACTTGTTTTGGTTGCATGTATAGTTTGTACATGATCCAAGTAACGGTTACGTCATTGTCATACGTTGTGTTTTGTTGCGCGCATGCTCGTATGCTGCCATAAATGTTAGTCTTTTTCTTCAGTTATCAGTTTACCTCGTCGTGTCCGGTCTTCTTGTGCGTCCGTCTCCGTCTTGTCAAGAAATTATGTAGAACTCTCAGTTCAGTTTCGTTGTTGTGTGTGGCGGGTCGGATGGGCAGGGAGGCTGGGCCCCTGACACCTGGACAACATGTGCGCGTGCACAAAACTCCCCTCGTCGCTTGCGTGGGTCCATTGTCGTCATCCCATCAGCAAAATATTCTTTGATGAGCAGCCAATCGCCATCAGACAAACTCTCCTTGTGGCATACAGGAGCCTCGCGGCCTCCTTTTTTCTTGTCCTTGAGGACGGCATCGAGGAGCTTGTTGGCCTTGACAAACACGCCACGCTTCAAATCGAAGCCCCGGTCACGGTCATTGACTTCTCTCTGCAAGGCTCCTCTTGCAGCTATTAGACTGGCCCGTTTATATTCCTTCTTGTCATGAGTTCTCACGGAGCAGTAAAACCTTTCGAGGATTTCCGCCAGTACCTTGTCTTCGACAGTAGCAAAATCACAAGACAAGCTCTCCTGCATCAAAAAATCGCTGAACACCTTCAACCAAAACTTCGTTGCAACTTTGGTTGACTTAGGAACTGCTGATTCCAAAAGTTTCTTCCTTTCTTCTTCAGCAACGGACGCAAAACGTCCAGTAGACGTTGAAGAGGCCATTACACTCGTAAACCAAAATAAACAACACGAGGAGAAAGTTGAAACACGAGGAGTAAGTTCGAGCATGTGCCGAAATAGGTACGAAAATCCAAAACGAAAATCGGTTTTTATAAGTAGAAAGGAAAAGGACATAATTATGGAAACGAGTTAAGAGTAACTTTCCACCACTGTAACTAGATACTATATACAGTCAGAAAGTGCAACAACTAGGCACAAAACTGACAGAGTACTGAGACATTCGACGTCCTGACACCTAGCTTCAACACATCTCCGTAGCGCTAACCGACAGCCTTCCAACTTGGAAGGTTCAAGGTTATGGAAAGACCAAAGAGGGGAAGGCAAGCGCAACGAAAACGAGCACAAGCTACAGTCTCAACGGAACAAAGAATGTCGATTGTCACTGGACGATGACGAGACCAGTAGGCGATTTGACAAAGCGGTCTAACTACAATTCGAAGCAGCAAAGCAGCACACCACCCAACTTGGGTGGGTCAAAAATATCAAAGATAAGTTAAGAAGGGGGGGGGGGGGTTATAAGTATAATTTAAATAAAATACATACTTCGTCGTCGTGTTTACTCGAATTATAAAAAACCTCCACAAAACCCTCGGCTTCGCCTCGGGTTTTGTGTCGGTTTTTTATTTCTCGTAAACACCTCGGACTCAGTATGTATTTTATAATTATAATAATTATGGTCATCTTAAAAGATAGTTTAAGATACCCACTATATTATACCTATTCCTCACTATCCGACCTTCCTCGTTGAGGAGCATTATGCTGGGTCACAGCAGCCACTTGAAGGAATTCAATACCTGTCGATATCTTGCTCTCCTGATGGCATGCTGTGGCAATGGAACCAAGATTGGCTGGAGAGACTGTTTGTTGTATGACAGAATAAAAATACCATAATGCTGAAGTCAAATATTTCTGTTACACTGAATAATGATTGTACTTTAAAAGTCCCTACTGTGTGGTACAGAGGCAATATGCTTTGGTTGGTATTCATCTGTTTTGCCGTGTGCAGATCCCAATGAAGGCACCTTCCGCCCGGTGACAGACCCACAGGCACGGTTTGTCATCTCCCTGAAGTCGTCAGGCATATTCGGGCCGCAGTACTTGGAGCTGTTTGCACCAAACCCGTCGGCCTGCCGTTCCTGGGTAGAGGCTCTGCAGGAGTTCATCACGGGCCAGCCAAGCAAAGAGAGACTTCGATATGGTATGATTGTCACTACATGCACATCCACTTGATTAGTCAACACATGCACATCTACTTGATTAGTGCTAGAAAGGACATCTAGTACTGTCGGGTAGCGCCGAAGAATCACCAGGATAGAATTTCATCAAGCACAGCATACCAAATTACCAATGTATACACGGTTACTCAACTGCTCATAGACTGTGATAAATGAGAATAAGAACGGCTAGGAGGCTGACCCCCAGTTCTTCGGCGACCAATAGTACTGTATTCCATTTCCTTTTTGGCAGAGTGTGGCAAGAAAAAAACAGTCACATTTATTTAGACTCGGGTGGAGATTAATTTATAAGAAGAAAAACGGACCAAAGAGCTACAAGTTACGCTATAATTAACTGGTGGTGTCAGTGGATAATTATAGCGTAAATTGTACCTCTTTGGTCTTTTTTTCTTCTTATTAACCCTTTCAGCCCTGACCGGAAAATCACCTCCCACTGGGCCAAAAATGGCAATTTTTGAAAATGCATATTCTGGTCCAAAATTGGTTGGAGATGTTGGGTATGGACATATGCACTGTGAATCCAAAGAAATTTTGTAGGATTTCATTGTACGAGACTCATAACACCATATTTAGATATGCGACTTTTGGCGATTTTTCCTCAAAATTCATTCAATTTGGGCAATTGACGACAAAGATCAGACAAGCAATGGCAAGCAGTGCTATAACTGGCCAGTGTTGACTTCAGAATGGAGGAATGTCATATAACATGCTTGATATGATCCTGGTGTTCTACGGCAACCTAGACTAGAGTACAGCAACTCGTTTTATACGGCGCTTGCATCATATGCGACTTCGCGATCTAGAATGGGTCTTTCTTTTCTTGGGCGCCTCGTAAAGCTTGAATCCTCCAGCAGCCCTACCTACTTCAAGACAAAACCATGTGATGGACAGTGAGGATGCCGAGTAACTGGAGTAGCAACCACAGACACTGCATCAGCTATAATAGCAGCCGATGCAGTGGCAGCGATTGGCTCACTGTGTTCGGCACATCCCAGGGGGGATTCATCTCTGGCCGCACGCGTACGTACGTACGCGGCACAGGTAAAGTCATATTGATGGAGAATGCAAATGCTGCTCATTCTCTGATTTGGACACTCACTGGCAAGACAATCCAGCTATCTAAATAGTCTGAAGCATTCCCTAAACAGCCGAGTGCATACTGCGTACCGGTGTACGTACGCATGAAAATTCAAGAAACAATTGGCTGCGCAATTTTTGATAGTGATTCAAAATTGCACAATTGTTGACTATTAGTAGAAAGGAAAAGGACACATGGAAACGAGTTATGAGTAACTATCCACCACTGTAACTAGATACTATATACAGTCAGAAAGTGCAACAACTAGGCACAAAACTGACAGAGTACTGAGACATTCGACGTCCTGACACCTAGCTTCAACACATCTCCGTAGCGCTAACCGACAGCCTTCCAACTTGGAAGGTTCAAGGTTATGGAAAGACCAAAGAGGGGAAGGCAAGCGCAACGAAAACGAGCACAATCTACAGTCCCAACGGAACAAAGAATGTCGATTGTTACAGGACGATGACGAGACCAGTAGGTGATCTGACAAAGCGGTCTAACTACAATTCGAAGCAGCAAAGCAGCACACCACCCAACTTGGGTGGGTCAAAAATATCAAAGATAAGTTAAGAAGGGGGAAGCTTTGCGAGAACGAATTGTACAAGCCGAAATCAAAACTCCTACAGTACTCCTCATGCATGACATTGTGATGGACTAGTTGACTACAAAACAAGTTGTTTCACACGACGTACGTTTCGCCGTATGGTTCGTGACGGCTCATCAGGTGTGCAATTTGAAACTCGGGTATTGACCCAATAATAAAAGTAGAAAGGAAAAGGACATATGGAAACGAGTTAAGAGTAACTTTCCACCACTGTAACTAGATACTATATACAGTCAGAAAGTGCAACAACTAGGCACAAAACTGACAGAGTACTGAGACATTCGACGTCCTGACACCTAGCTTCAACACGTCGAATGTCTCAGTACTCTGTCAGTTTTGTGCCTAATTGTTGCACTTTCTGACTGTATATAGTATCTAGTTACAGTGGTGGATAGTTACTCATAACTCGTTTCCATAATGTCCTTTTCCTTTCTACTTTTATTATTGGCTCAATACCCGAGTTTCAAATTGTTGACTATTCTGGATTATTCTGGATTCATATTAGATAGCAATCTCCATCCTGTAGGTGCCTGGCTCTGTACTCAACATACAATACTTACATGTATGCACATCTCTATTGTGATCTGCATGTATGTCTGACCAGTACACTTGACTTCAAATTCAAATATTTTCAAAAATCTGACCTTCAAATTTGATCGCAGTTTACTTGAGGAACTTCAGCAAACGGGCTCACGACAGATAGCTCCTGTTCAGAACACCATGCCTAGGTGTCAGAGACTTCAGCATCGCTTTCCAAATCTCTTTGGTCTCCAGCATCCCCTGCGTCCGAGTCAGCTGCGATCTTTTGAATAGCAGCAAATTCGTAATCCTCAGAAAACGACTCCGACACAATTTCGCTGTCTCCAGAATCATCTTCAGAGTCATTACCCGCCTCACACTGCTTCACAGGACTCCTTCCATCGACACAGAGTAGTTGAGCTACTTACCTTGCCGAGAAAAAGCAGGGCAAAGTACACTCCTACCTCGTTTATCCGGGCAGTCCGGGACCTTGCACTGCCCGTAACTTTGAAATGTCCGTAACTCCGAATCATATGCATCTTGATGGGGAAAAGGCCATCGACATGGCATATGACGTCAATATTTCTACGAAAAGTGACAAAAGAGTAGTAATATTTCCCCTGAAACTCGCCCAAATAGTGCCCGGTAGACCGAAGTGCCCGTAACTTCGGGGTCCGGATAACCGAGGTATGAGTGTATTTTGATTGTAAAAAACTTTGTATTGTCACAGGAAGTGTGAGTTACGAAGTCTGAAGAAAATGTTGAACAGTTGCTACTTATATGACAGCTACGCCATGTCTCAGTGGCTAGAGCCTCGCTGGCCACTAGCGAAGGTCCCTGGTTCCAGTCCTGGGGGTGACGGTCAATGCTTCTTCAGACGTTTCCTATTAATTTTCATTAATTATTTATTACCTCAGAACATTGAAAAAGTCTCAAACCAAGGTGTTGCGACATCAGCGTTTTACAGTAGGTATCGGTTACAGCGTGGGTGTTTGAAAAAAGACTTTCTATTCTTTTTTCCGATATTTCTTACACACAATAAGCCGAGTGTGACATATCACATGCATGTGCGCAGATACAGGATGGCCATCATACATACAAGGACGTCAACGTATCGGTGCTGTGCATGCGGGTATTCATAGTCCCACACACTTGCCATGTGGCTGTGCAGCATGAGATACATGACAGCAACAGTTGAACCAGCAGCACTACGATGCGATGCGTTGTCAGCGATCTACATGGTCTACATGGTCTACATGGTCTACATGGTCTACATGGTCTACATGGTCTACATGGTCTACCTGGTCTACCTGGTCTACCTGGTCCACCTGGTCCACCTGGTCCACCTGGTCCACCTGGTCCACCTGGTCCACCTGGTCCACCTGGTCCACATGGTCCACCTGGTCCACCTGGTCCACATGGTCCACATGGTCCACATGGTCTACATGGTGGACGGCTTGAGAGGACCTTTCTAGATGTCCGGGTTTTCAACCCATTTGCCCCCTCAAATCGGAAACCAAGGATCACTGGCAGCTACAGAAAGCATGAAGAGGAGAAAAGGAGGAGTTACGAGAGTCGCATTATCAACGTAGAGCACGCTTCCTTCATCCCCGTGGTATTCAGTACAACTGGTGGTCAAGGGAAGACAGCCTCCACCCTCTTTGGCCGCATTGCAGGCATCAAGTCTGAGAAGAATGGTGAATCTTTCTCTGTGGCAATGGCTTTGATCAGAGCCCAGCTGTCCTTTGCTCTCGTGAAGGCGGCCGTGTCATGCCTTCGCGTGCATCGCCACAAGTCGAGCAGATTCGACCCTCATGCATATTCTGCCACACTTGCTGTCTCCGAGTGTCATCTGTAGTCATCCAGTTACCTGTCTGTTTCCCCCGGCCTTCCTCTCCTTCCTCTTTCTCTGTATCATTTTGTACGTTATAATTTTCGCGGATTCCGGTTTTTCTCCTTTCACTATAATTTAAGCGCAGTTTAGCGCGTATTGGCTTATGATTTCTTTTCCTCTGTTTGTATTTAGCGCTTGACCGGTTATTATTTTCCTTCTCTTTATTTTGCACTACATATTATTATTTTTCTTGTTTTAGAGTTCGTATCGGAGTAGCCGTTCTGCAATACAAAAAAGATCTTGATGTCGAGCAGAACTGCATTGGACATATGTTACTACAGGTGGTACACTGTGTACTAATCTGGTATGTTTTGCTACACAAAGTCCATTCTTAGGATCGATATATTCTACAATGCGATAATAGTTCTTGTAAGAATAAATGTTCAACTGACACCCATGTTATGATTATGAAAATATGAGAGGTCATTCTTGTAAGCAGTATATTCTTTCACACGACCACGCTATAACCGATACGCACTGTACTTATATGATGACTGTAACGAAGGTGGCTGCTCCAAATATTAGAGGCCGGGTTTCCTTCCGGCAATTACCTGGCCTTGTGCTGGGCTGAGCACTGCTCTATTAAACTCTCTGTGCTTGCTGTACTGTACTGTGATAAAAATGACATCATTCTGTTCTTGCTGTTACTCTGTATCGTGATGCAGATCATATCTGGCATGACATTGTCAACATGCGGTGGGGCTTGGGTGACAGCGTATGCCCAACGGACATTGTGCTTAGCCTGGCGCACAACTCCACTGAAATCGCCCTTATCTTGAAGGGTTATCAGGATCCAGTCTTCCGCTGTGATATAAACAGTGTGAAAAGAGTGACCATCACAAGTAAGCGGCAATTTGCAATGTGCTGTTAGAAGACTGGGACTCATGGTGGTGGTGGTGGTGGTGTGTGTGTGTGTGTGAAATTGCTTTATTTAACATAGCTTATTCGCTATCATTGCTGCAGCAAAGGGCAGGTTAAGGTGTGTGTGTGTGTGTGTATGTGCGTGTGCCTGTGTGCACGTGTGTGTGTGTGTAATGTGTGTGTGTGTGTAATGTGTGTGTGTGTGTTTATGGGCATGTATTTCCTACAGTTTGTTCGCTCCAAATTGACGTTGGCAAGGGAGCATCATGCGGTGATGGCGCCATATTTCTGCGGGCTTCTCAATCAGCAACTCTCACGGCGATTATCGAGTCTCTTAGCCAGTAAGTTTTGGACAGAGCAGCATTCTTGGGAATGACATTGTAGTCATTGAATTACAATTAGTCATTGAATTATAATTGAATGCGTTGAGTACTTTGTACATGTACCATGTAACTGTCCATGTTCATGGACACACGCAGTCAGTAACTTGATCTAGGCACATACAGTGGTGTCAACTGAAAACCGACCCCAGCGTGCGTTCACGTTGCAAAGCCCCAGCCAGCATGCGCTTGTAGCACTACCAAAATAGAAACCGCTAGAATGGGTGCTGCACTCGAGCATAACAATCAGGTGTGGGATGGTTCAGTAGCCAGCACTGTAGTTGTACAGTCTGATAAGACATACTCCCGGCATGGGGATAATGACAATTCTGTACTTACAATCCCATGTTCTTCTCACCCTAGCATGCCTGAATAATATGGATGCAATGCAGTGCACTGGTGCTCCGGACAATCTCCGTACGGTCAGGCCTAGCTTATCCGGTCCTCTTTTATCCGGATCCCTCGCCTATCCGGATATTTTTGGAAAACGGATGGGTGCGTTCCAGCGAGGTCTGACTGTACTAAGCGAGTGTACACTCTATCAAAGTACGTATTTTGTGACTTGACTGGTGCAGCATGCAGACACTCTGGATAGAGGGTATATTCTTATCCTTGCTTTGATATTGAGATCAGTTATCGTGATTTAGACGATACACATCGCCTATTGGAACAATACAGTGTTTGCCAGGGCAATCCTGGACTAAGCTGACTGGACCCGCTTTGCTTCTTTTCACATATGCCTAGCGTCAGGGGAGTGAAGCTGATCTATTCAGTGACAGGATGATGAAATGGCATCAATGGCAGTCTTTTAACTTTGTGGAAATTTCTCTTTGAACTCTATGCCTCGTCCAGCTTCACACTTTAAGAAAGACCACATCCAACTCACAAGCTTGCTTTCAAGAAAGTTCGTGAGTTGGATATGGTCTTTTTACAGACAGTTGATGTTTTTAAACAAGTTCAACATTTGCTGTTTAAAAAAAAGTCCCAGTTGAACTGGTTTTAACATCAACTGTCTATGATTTCTCTTCTGGGCATACACCAGGGCACCTGGGTGGGGCGTTTTTTTAGAATACCCCTATCCATATGGCCTGCTGTTTGCAAACACTGTTCAGGAGAAGATCTAGCGGTAGAACTCTTCGTAAGTTTGAGGGAAGTGAAACGGAAAAGATCTGAAGCAAAAACAATTGATTGTGATCACCAGGACTCGAACCAGGGCCTTTCACAAAAAATATAGAGAACAATGTGTTGACTGTGTAGCACTGTGCTTGTGTGCATGTTGTAAGGGTACTGTCAAAGCACACGTATGCAGAAGAGCCTCCAGTGAAGCCACCGAGGCTTCGGCCAACGCCAAGAAGCAGAACACTACCAAGACGGATCCGCCAAGAAGAGCCCAGCGCTGCAGGACAGGTACGTGAGAAGAGAAGTTTGATGCGCGAGAACTGCCAGTACTTAGTAATTGCCTCTTATCTGTTGAAGAAGTAGGAAATACCACTCATTAGAGATTCAAGATCAACACAACCATTATGATGCTGAAGTGGTTATGAGCTAGCAATCAAGTGTAAACTCTGAACAGGAGAAAGTATTTCATGACTCTCTGACCAAGAGTACATGAGATGTGCTGCTGCTGCTGGGCTCCCTCATGTCATGATGAACAATCATACATTGTACCCTAATAGGTGCATGCACTGAATATGGAATATGCGTGATTATCTGTGTTGTGCAGATGCAGCGTAGACACGCTCGCTCCAATGCCCACCGCTGGGACTCCACGTCCGCACCCTCTGTGCCAGCCATTGATGTCGATGATGAGCCTAGGCGGGAGTTAGGTCGGGTCAACATGGAAGACGGCTCCAGAATGCTGTCCCGAACACTGTCGCACCGAGCGAATGCATTGGCTCGTAATCTGTACAATTTCACGTTTGAGATCGAGGACACCTTGGTTTGATTTGCTCCTGAGCAGCAGCGACCTCAACCACATTCTCTCACTGTCACTGGCAATGACATGCATATGCATGTTCACAGTGCTGGCCAGAGAAACCCAACCTCATGAACAAAGGAGCGCCGCGTTCGAGTGCACAGACCAGTAGTACGCGCAGTGCTAGGGCCAGTAGGGGTGCATAGCGCCCGGCAATGCTATTTTATTCATGAGGTTGGATTTCTTTGACCAGTATTGTACATGCATACATGGTGGTAGTGGAACCGGACTGCCTCTCATTGAACATGCATGGAGTTGGTTGTTTGTATTTGTCATACTCAATATGTACACTTAGCTGGTTCAACATTGGTAAGTCGTCTCCTCAGTGTGTAGACTTCGTGGCTCGTGCTTGCATTAATGTTATGTACATGTAAATAAACATGTTGCAACATACATGGGCATTGCTTCCATTACCCAGTTTTTCCCGGCATGCTTAAATTTGCAAACAGCAGGATTCTGCTCCTGGCACGGTGATCAGCAGGCATCTGCTATTCCAGGCCCTGCCACACTGTGTCATCTCTACTCCCAATGATACGCTTGACGGCACACAGTTAACCCTCTGCATAGCACATTTATACTTCTTGTGTCAATGCATATTGTACACAATCTGTCACATACTATCTAGCTAGTGTGTGGTGGATAGGGTAGGTAAATGTGGGGTTCTTATTTTCTAATCCCTTCACTCAAACTGCTTGCCAACGTAGTCGAGAAAATTCCCGGGATGTGATTATGGCAGATGTATGTGGCCAACCAATCAACTTGCCCCAAATCACAAAACGGAAAGTAGTTCAAAAATATTGTTCATTGTCTTGTTTTTATAATTGTTTCTGCTGTGTGTTGTTATTCCTTGCTGGCTGTGTCACTAGGATAGCATAGGTTTCTCAGTCTAGGCCACCTTGTTCTCCTTTTTTCTTAAAGCTCACCTACAGCTGCTGCCTAATGATTTCTACATGCAATCATGATAGATGGTGCAACCAAAATTCAATGGCCGATATTATGCACATGGAGTTCGTTCGATTGTGTGGAAGAAGACTATGGTTGTGCCGTTTTTATTACGGCAATCCTATTATGTTATTGAAATTGCATGCTATGACACTCTGAAATCTTCAGCGGAGAAAGCTTAACTCAGTACGAACACATCATTGTAATTATTAATAGCAATCTACTGGCCCACAGATTGAGTGAGTGCTTGATTTCTACTTCTTGTAAAGAATATGCAAGCCATGGCCTAAATGGGTATGTTGAGAGGCAGGAGTGCAGAAATGATTACTTCCCCTGTTCATTTCTACTTTCGGAAATTTATCATTTTTACGATGCAAAATGTGTTCTTTTTTATAATCACACGCCTGTCTTTATTTGACAGAAAAATTACGCGATTGCTTCAGGACGTTATGATGATGCCTTCCTGGGTGAACATTTGGAAACACATGGTGTAGCCCAGACTGTTCGTTCTGACAGAAAAATATGATAGGAGATCAAAGGAGATGGGCGATCCAGTGATATGAGAGCGGCAGGGTTCCATAATACAGTCCAGAACTGACAGTTGAAAAATGTTCGTTTATTCAAACACTCTACACTGGACTATGTAAGTGATCATCAGTGAGGGCAAAGGCTCCAAAAAGCTCACAGACGTCCGCTCCACGATAGCACCCCACGTCAAAGTGCTCACTGTGCCTTTTCACCTAGTCACGCTTCTCCAGGCCAAACAGTAGCCATTGTCTGGAGGGGAAAATAATGTCACACTCCTCCAGGGAGATGTCCGTGTAGGGACGGGCGAATTCCATGGATCACTGGAGGAGGTCTTCAGAGATTGAGGAATAGAAATTCACAGTATCAAAGTATGCGAACATGCACCTTTCTTTTTCTGGTAATCACCGCTGCCGTGTTCCCCCATTCATTAATCTGCAGCTGGGGGCGGAGCTTTTAGAGCGGTATCGAGTATGGACTATGCCGATTTCACTCGTTGACGGATTAATGAGCCTGCATGCGTCGGGACATGAAGTTGACCGAATAAGAAAGGAGAAGACCAAGATTGTGTTAAAAGTCAACTGTGATAGCCTCATCTCTCATTTCGACAAAAGAAGAAGAAACTACAAATACAAGAGCATCTGAAGCTTTGCAGGATCTTTTCCTACTTGGAAAGATTCCCTTCATATGTCATTACTGGAGCATACCTTGTCAAGATCTGCTCACACTGCCAACAATAGGGTCTGCAACAGTTACTGCTGCTGGCCTTTTATCGTTGTCAGATGAGTCGACATACTTCAGCCTGTTGTAGCAAGGGCTACTAGCTGGGCACCAATCGTATTCATATTGTCTTCACTACTTCACAGTGTGCACCATGCGTCAGCTACTCCAGTCCACAGCTACGACACAAGGAAGAAAGGCATGAAAAACACGACATTGTACACGACTATCAAAACTGTGTATGTATCCTTGAACAGGGTTGCAATCCCAGCATCTCACGAATTGCCACGACTGTACTGTGCACAAAGATCAGCAGATTATTTCAACACTTGGTTTGGAGGTTCGACGTGGTCTTTTCTGGTCACCGTCACGTCATACATGTAATAGTGATTTGGCTGAATGTATGGACCTCCAGAGTGCAAACATGAACCAGCCCAGCAAAACCTGAATAGTTATGGTTTCCCTGGACTGGTCTGTGTTTACATTTCACAGTGGTGATTGACCCTATCTGGTGTAGTAATAACTGTTATCATCAGTACACTAGATTGCATCATCCAGCACTTTACATCTTCCCCATGGGCGACAGGAACAGGCAGACAAAGTGCAAAACCTCACATTGGTTCAATGTCCAGTCACAATCGGTTGTCTCCCTGAAGGGCAAGAGGCGTGTGAAGGACAAGGCGAAGAAGCCGACTTGATGAGTCCCACATTTGTGGCAGGGAAGAAGAAAGAATTGTAGGAGCTGGTCGAGCCTGTGTGGGGGTGCCAGGAACGTGGTCTTCAACGCACTGCAGCCGACCTCGTACATCTCTCTATGATGCGAGAGACACACACTGACTAATTGACAGGACAATGCCACCAAAGCTGAAGGGATGAAGAGGATATATGGCCGCCAGTCCGATGAGATATGTTCCAGTCCAGGCTTACGACTGGCTTGCAGGGCATGCTGTGCAGGACCTGCGTCACGGTTGTGTTTCTACAAGAGACCCTAGGTTCACACGTAGTTCACACATCTTACTTCCAGTCCAGCTACTCTGGAGGTCGACGATTACGGGCGAAGGCAAGTGTGCCGTACCATTCTCATCCCAATGATCGTTGTCCGACTCCGAGTCAACCACGTCCTCGACGTCCGTGGCGGCGGCAGTCGGGTTGTGCGCGAGCAGGCGCTGCACTAGATCAGCCCTAGTGCCTGCAGAGGACAGCAACCCAGCCAAAGCAAATCCCTTAGTAACACACCCAGCTTCCCCTAATTTTTTCTCATTTCCCTTGTTTTGCTGGTTTTCGCCAATTTTCCTATTTTTGGGCAATTTTGGAGTATTGTTGCGTATTCCCCCGCAATTTTTGGGCAATTTTTTCTTTTTTATTCATTTCTAACCCATTGCTCATTGGGGGACCAAAACCTGAGTTTCTTCATTGTCAGATCGCCCCTACATGTGGGATTCTGTGAAATGCAGGGCCACATGTGCCCGTGTCACACCACAAAACAACTCATAGTTCAGTGCCAATACCGGCAGTTGTTTCGATTAAAGTAAACAAATACCAAATCCCCTATCTTTTCTGCATATTCGTATTGGCTCAAGCTGCCCATGGAAATGAAGGCAATATCCAATACCATAAAATTCCGTTAATAAGCCCCGGGTGTATACTTTGCAGAGCGTCAAAAACCGGGCGTATATTTGGGCATGGGCTTATTTTAGGGCATGGGCGTTATTTCGGACGCAATCTGCAGAAGATCAATCTATCAGCAACCCACTAGTTTCAGTGAACCACCATTCACACTGAGCGTGGTACAGGTACATCAAACCCCATTTTTTGGCAGTTTGCTACATTCCAACGGAACATCGCTGTCCTCGCGCGCCGTGACAGTGTTGAGTTCTGCACTGTGTTGTGTGCAGTTGGATGGCACGCATTTGATCTACAACTGTTCTACAGTTTGTACGCGCACGCTCGCGCGCTGGTCATTTTGAGTCCACTTTACGCCCTGGGCTTATTTTGGGCATGGGCGCTAAAACGGACTTGAAGTGTACACCGCCTAAAACTGGGCTTATCGGACATGGGCGTTATTTAGGGTGGGCTTATTCACGGAATTTTACGGTATTAGACAGTTCATAGACCATGCTGTAGGCTCACTCGCCTCTTTTGCTAGCTTCTCTCGCCACTATCCACCATGGTCAATATAGTGATAAATTTCAACCCGCTGATGCGTTCTTTTCTTCCGATTATTTCTTTTTCCATCTCTTGCCATGGCTGGCTCATGCCCCCTCCTTTGCATTGGCTTCTGCCATTGGACGGTGAAATACAATAAATAAAAAAATCCCGGTATGCCGGTAGTTACCCTAGTTTTCCGGTAGTATACCGGAAAAACCTGTATGGTTGGCAAGTATGCAGCTCCATGTCACGACAGTAGCTTTTCAGTTGCCCCTGGTGGGCGAACGCCAAGCGGGCTAGATCCATCTAGCTAAAATACGGCCGGCGGAAAATAATTATCTCCGATGAACGGAAATAAGACGAAAAGGCATCACTGACAAACAGCAACAGTACGGGCAAGGGCAAGAAGAGTCTGACACACAGAGGTCTCTTGTCACTTCTGACACCATGTAAAAGGATTTCACGATCACACCGGATATCCAAGTAAGTTCTTGTTAGACTAACCAACTTCGAGCGAAAACTCGCTGTTGGCCAGCCTTTAGTATTCCCAAAAATATTGCATACAAAGTACGATGCCAAAAGAGAGTGTGGAGATGTGTATACGCACACCATGCACCACGGCGCGAGACGGGAAGGGATGTGGTCATTTACGGGGAAGGGATTTAACGTGCTTACTAGTGGTAGCCGGACTATCCTGAATGGTACAGTAATACACTCAAAAGACAATGACAGATAAAGTAACTTGCAGACACTGAATACATGGTCACGTTACAGTTTAAAAACCTGTGCGAAAAGTTCTATTACCAGGAAATCCATTCTGTCACAGACACCTTGGTTTGATTGCTCCTGAGCAGCAGCGACCTCAGCCATATTATACTATCCCTGTCACTGGCATGCAGATGTATGTTCCAGGATACCACAATCACCGCCATCACCAGCATCTAAACCATCGACTGCACCCCGGCACTGCACAACCTCCACATTTTGTGCCTCCACCGCTTTCACTGCCTGTTCAAATTTAAATAGTCAAGTATGATGCCACCGTTGTCACCTATACCATGTTGCAGTGTGCGGTCAGCAGCAGTAGGACCATTAGCACATGAAGGACAAGGTATAATGGTGCGTTCACCACCTCCCTCGTCTATATGTTTGCAATGTTGAAAAACAGACAGGTTCCAGGCTGTCCAAGAGAGTGCTCAATACCAAGAGGCAGAGCTAGTTCAATAATTATTATCTTTTTTGTAATGTTGACCGATTTCGGCCAGTTTTCTCTCTTTTTTTGCCCGCAAACCCTTCTTTTCTTCTTCATTTGGTGTCCTATTTAAGGGGGGACGGGAGGTTCGCTGGCCATATTGCGGTGCCCGTTATAAATTCGCTTGAATCTCAGCACTCAAACATCAGAATTCCTTCAAATTTTCAGTATATGTTCCTTGACATCCACTGACGACATTGCAACCAAGAACTGTGGAAAGTATACTGGTATCATGGAGAAATGCAGGAAAGCAATTTTGGAAAAAATGCGATAGCCGGGCATGATTTCTGCGCAGTTTTTCTCAAACATGGTCACTTGAAGATAAACACATAACACTGCAAAATGATCAGGTACCAAGGGGCTAGGGCTGTTGCCTAAGCACAATGCGATTACAGTTCCCATGGTGTGCCACTGCAGCCTTGAAATAACAATGCACGTGCGCAAGATAACTTGACTGAAGTTCAAGGTCCATTATTTTGTTTCTAACAGAAGATCTTGTGTCCTAAGAAGGCAACGGATCTAGAATGGACCGTACA